AGTGTCAGAGATCACACCCTGCAGGAGGGAGTGTCAGAGATCACACTCTGCAAGAGAGAGTTTCAGAGATCACACTCAGCAGGAGGGAGTGTTAGAGATCACACCCTGCAGACAGGGGTCTCAGAGATCATTCTCTGATTCCTGATTCGCATATGGACAGGGAAACATCGAAGGAAACTTACTTCAGCAGTTTGATGTTGCACATGATCAGTTCCTTCCAGTTGACAAAAATCATCCCCACCTCCTTCTCTGTCAGCAGCTCGGACTCCAACAGGGGCTTCTGGAAGACCTGAGGTCACAAGAGAAGAGCACTTTACGCAACCGGAGCCCAGTGGGCTTCACTCCAAGAGCTCATTGAAGGATTTGTAATCATCTCATTTGTCTATACACTCGTAGGTTTAGCTCCACTATGAACCAAGCCTTTGGAATTCGGTGTATAAGGAAAATGTGTTAATATTCACGTTCTAGAGTATACAACAATGGCTCTTATTGTTGAAAATTTTTAAATCCAGCACATGAGGTTTGGGCACTCTGGTATCTGCTGATAAACTGATAAATAAATCCACAAGCTAGCTCGTGTTCCCTGTTCTCTTTTACAAAGGTGTTTTAAATTTGTCTCTTTGTTTGTTACGTTAGGGAAGTCTTGCCTGAACTGCTAGGGTGTAGGAGGAAATATTTCAGAGGACAAAACACTCAACTAAAAGTCTTTTAAAAGTTTAACAGCGTAGCCAAACGCTGCTCTTCTGTTGGTGGCACACCTCAATGAAACAGAGAAGGTTTATGATCTGTGAATTCCAGCTCGATAAACACACAGGTACGGTGGGTCACAGTGGGGAAGTGTCACTGTAACATGTCCACAGGGCTGTCTGTACCTCTGTAACCAGCTGCAGGTCATTGACGTAGTTCTCCTCCGTCACAATCAGCTCATGGATGTAGCCCTGCCTCTTCCTCTCTGTGGGAGTCAGCATGTCCAGGAGGTGCAGGTCTGCGCACCCTAAGACAGAACAGGCCATCAGCCTCTTCTTCCTCATCACAATAAACAGCGGTTTTCAACCACCAACCACAAAAGTCAGGTGAATCCCTGAGGTCACCTTTCCATCTGGGGTTTGGTCATTGGCAGCTCCACCTACAAATACCCGTTTCACCTTTCACCTCACTGCAAGGAGGCCCTAAATCAGCACACGCACAGTCACAAGGGAGAAACAGCACCCCTTGACCTCTTCACCCGGCACTTCTCTAGAATCACGCATTTCAGGACAATGGCACTCCACCTTATGTGCTGGATCTGCTGTATGCTGGATTGCTTTGCTTACTGTATAGCTCATTGCACTGTGCTGTATTCTACTAGTCATGTGACGTGGCTTCATAATATGGAAGTTATGTACTAAGCTGGTCTGTAATATAGGCCTGAATGTAAGCAATCTTAGACAAAGGTCAACTATGTAAAAATGTTAACAATTTATTACCAACACTATTAAGCTGAGAACATTTAGGAATTTTACAATGTATGACTTCTATACAGCTTTGACTTTCTGCAAAAATTAATTGCAGTCCCACAATTTCAAGAAATGAGTTTGAGCAATATCTAAAACCAGTAGCTGGACAAAATAAGGTCTGTGACATATCTCTCAGCTTCTAAGGTCCTGTTTTGACCAGTCCTTGTTCCCTTTTCCCTCCTTAAATTAGGAATTCTGATGGATAAATAGGCACTGATGACATCACATTTGACGTTGGATTACTTGGACAGAACACATCATTTGAAACCCATGCACTGCAGAGATCAATAGGATGAATTAATGAAGCCAGAAACTGAAAGAGCTCTGTATAATCTCGTGTTCTTCATAGCAGGCGAGAGATTCTGAGCCACCCTCCTCACCATAAGCTGAAGCACAATGCAGCACTTCCATAAATTGGACTGAAGTGGCAGAGCCATGATTTGTAGAGCAACAGGCTTGTAATCTATTGTTGGCCAGGTTCTTTCTCCATGCACAGCCTAGTAAAACAATGACCTGGTTTGGCTTGCATCTGTAACCTTGACCTTGTGCAATAAGAAGATGCCCTTGTTCATGATTTGATTAAACAAGCTAACATTTTCAGCCAACGTCTCTTATATTGTCGTGGAAGCATTTTTAATTATCAGGTTGTCTAGAATCAGCTTCTCAAGTATAACTGCAAAAACTAGCCCAAATTGACTACATTTCTGAAGACTATTTGCCTTGGCATAAACAACACTTCTTCTCACAAAGTTAGAAAAAGGCGAAAAGCAGAATTCTGGACTGTTGATAGGTCTGGCGGTACAGAAGGAAGAAACCATTTCTTGGGAAACGTGCAAGATTTGCAAATGAAAAAAAAACAGGAGACGGCATTCTGAAAATCTCTTCTAACACAAGATGATGAACTGTGAACCCAGTGCTCAGCCGTAGGGCCGTGCCCCCCTGACTGTGCATCCTGGGCTTGTGTGCTTATCGATGAAGTCCTCCAGTTTTCACAGTGCTGCAGGAAAGCTGGCATGGACTGTGGACCAACATGGGCCTCCACATCAAAAAACGCCAAGTCCCAGCAAGCCAAGGACTCCCTGGCTGACTTAACCTGGCACCTGGTCAGCTTGTAATGGGATTTTTCAACCCATGTTGTACACCTCACTAATGACTAAACTCACACTAATGTCTTAACCCAAAATCCAACCTACAACAGGGCACAGTCTGTGCTTTGAAAGGATGTCTTCAGCGAATGGGCCACTTTGACGAAGGGGAAATGGGAGACTGCAGAAAAATTAGGTACGTACCATCTTGGTGTGTCTGACATCTAAATAGTGACAGCTTATCTTAGTTTAAAAACATCATCATAATGCGAGTTAATTAATAATAACAACAACAACAACAATCTTTTTTTTCATGCAATGATCATTTTCACTAAGAGAATTAAATACTCCTGATTTACAATTTATAGTTGCATCTCTAAGGAAATATCATTGCATGTCTGAATCCCCAAGCTTCTGTATTTCACTAATTCCTGGAAATAATATCCTTTTAGTTAAGGTGCTAATAACATCACAAACTTATACAGATGACAGACACCGGATATCCCATTGTAATGTTTGAACTTGAACTAACAGCAAGAAGGTTTATCCATTGGCTTGCTGGCATGCGATGTTCTCTGCAGCAGATCTATTGCTTCGTCAGCAGTCAAGAGCACTGGCGTTAAACTCCGTTCCTGGAGACGGTGGTGTCTTCTGGTTTTCTTTTAAACTGAGCAGTCAATTAAACAATTAACCAACTTATCTTTTTAGACGCATACAGGATGCTTATGATGTTCTGAACACTCACTTCATTAAATGTACTGTTGCCTACTATACACCTCAGAGCCTTATTAGAAATATTACAATTTAGCAGCAGTTATTAAAACCTAAATTGTGTAATTAGATAATTAGAGCAACTATGTAACTGAGAACTCGGATAGAACTAAGACCAGACGTCTGACACCCCGGGTCAAGAGCCACAGTAGGAAGAACTTCTCCAACAGATCGGGGCTTTACACACACTCCTTTCCAATACATTGCTTGTTTTCCTGGCACAGCAGGGCAATGGTGCATTCGCCCCAGCAATTCTGATTCTGGATTAGTCTTACCCCATTCCAAAGCTAAATCTTCTGTATGAGCATGAAGTGCATTATAATACTTTATTACTTATTTGTCAACGCCTGTGGTAAGATCATGCTATCTTCTTAAATAAAAAGTTCTTCAGGGAACATCCAAGAGAAGTGATGTGTATGTCACTTTACCAACACATCCCCCTCAACAGAGGAAACCTGCACGTAAAAGTTCCCTTTTATAGGGGAATTAAGCAGCAGTGGATCACACTTGATGTTATGCTACCTTCCCAACTGTTCATATGAGTCTGTGCCCATCTTCCCGCTTCGGAATGCATGTAGCAGTGGTAAACTACCCGGACAATCCCGTTTAAGGCCAGTCAGCTCAAAACACATCTTTTTACCTAAGGGCTGCTGGCAAAGATCAAGTCTGCTACTACAATGAGGTTAAGTATTAATTTTAATTTTTATCTCCGCTGGACTGTTTTACCCATAGAATTTGCCACGTGAATCTCTACGGTCTCACTGTCTAGGATCAGTCTACAACCGCTGTCTACTCTGAATGTTTTTTATAGGAAATTGGGTGTCCACTGCAGCCTGTTCCTTAATTTCCTTGTGAGAATGTAAGGCTTGCTTTTTTTGGAAAGTCTCGATGGTGCCTTCTGGCAGCTCAACCCCCTTTTTGCATTCCAAAGTTGGTGGCCCTCGTACAGTCACATAATTGCAATTTGACACGTCCTCATAAGACAAAAAACATACTTTGACCTGATTTTAATTGTATGTTTTTTCATTAGTCATTTTACATCTTAAATGCTTTGTAGACACTAGAAATCTGACAAGGCAAAGCTGATGTACTATTTTCACAACACTACTGTCCTTCAAAAAGCGAAGTCACTTTTCTGTGCTGTAAGGACAGTGGAATGTTACTTTCACAATGTTGCCAATATTGAGATGTTTGATAGGCTCGAGCCTATCAAAAGCAAATACAACTCTAGAGCGAATCTGTCAAAGATTGAGAGCTTTTTCTTCACTAGTTGTGAGAACAAAGATCAATCAATTGGAAACTTGGTACACCTACTCAACACAAAGAACACTTTAACACAACTGGGGCTGGCTGCAGTACATGTCTCTGCTAAGCTGAAACAAGGACTGCTCTATACACAGAGCAGTAGAGCCTGGGATATTCAGGAAACAAGGTTATCCAATAAGCTGGTATCAAGATAGGCCTCACTTACTCAAAACATTTAACACAGGTGAAGGCACTACATCTCAAAGGAAATAAAAACACACACATGTACATCTACTATTACCATGGAGCATTTAATAGTTATTTATACATGTAATTTTCTATAAAGACTGCATTACAGTTTGTTAAAGCTATGGATGTTTGTATATATATGTTTTTTTACATTCATTTTGATGAAATACTTCAGTAACCAAGTGCAACGGAAAAGGATTTCTGTGACTGATCTTTTGCGTCGTAATGGAGAAGAAAGATACAGCATTAGTTATCTGTGTTCTAGGGTCTGAAATGAACCAAAGCTTGCCAAAGTACAAAACATCCAAGAGGCATTACTGCCCTCCTAAGAAAATGAGTGTGTCCTGCAGGCAGCAGTATAGCCCATTCTTTACGAAGCAGCAAAGTCCAATACTGTCACATTGTGGAAATCAATGAAAGACACAGGTGCCAAAAGTCCAACTTAAAACCATTAGAACTACAACACTGTTATGAGAATGTTGAATAAGAGCAACAAAAATGATATGGTACCAATATAGTATCATTTTAAATAAATGTCATGCTTTCATGTAGAATAGAATATTTAGTTAAAGGCAATAAAAAACTAACATGTGGCTGTTCAGTACAGGACTGACTTGGAAGCAGGCTCCACCGAATGTCTTAGTATAAATACCACAGTTTACATCGCTTTTTTACATTTGTAAACATTGAAATTGTCTGGAGGGTAGAAGTCTTTTTTCCAGTACATTCGGTCGTGTCAAGAAACTGAATCATGTTGTTCATCAAAATGAAAAAGTCCAGGTTACAAAATTCAGTCCCAGCACAAACACACACACAGACACACACCTGACACGCGCGCGCACACACGCACACACACACACTGGTGGCTGTGGTAAATTGTGAGTTTTCCTTAGGATGGTGCCGCAAAGCCAGACAAACTGTCAGCTTATTTTTTTTCCATGTTTTAAAAAACTACCATTATGATTTTAAACAACTAACAACAAAATTAAAAGTCTAAGCTTTGTAAATAATTAAAAAAAACACTAACCAATGTATTTTTTTTCATGTATAAAAAAATAAAAAGTTGGTCACCATTAGTGACTAGCAGTACTTGGAGAATTCAGAAATGGACCCCCACAGCGAGTCCAAAAGAGAAGTTTTTCAAAATGAAACTGTTGGGAGGAACATAAGCGAACAAGTGAGAAAGATGTAAACCAATAAAAATCACAATTGAAATTAAAACCCCTCCATGCTGTGACAACTCACATTGGCCAGTAAAAACCTGTTGAACCCACCCCCAGTTTAATCATAGTGTAAGGGTGACCACTCACCCTGACTGACGGTGATTTTTATTTGATCGTTTTACCCTCTCTTTCTGTGGTAGAACATATTTGGTTTCAATCCCCATTCTTTCCCCTCAATCCAATATCAACAAAAACACTTTTGGTATAAAAATTAAAAAACTACAGCAATGGCGGGAACAAGTGTGCTGGTAAGCCAAGAAGTTCAGATTTTAGACGGACGTAACTGTGTCTCAAATATGTCAACCTTCTGAAATAAATCGGTTGAACATACTATGTTCAACGAGGAAATGGACCAGGATGGTTTTTCACAGCATTGTGACCTTCTTAGCCACCAGCTTGAGCACACATTGCTCTGACAAAGCAGAGAGTGCAGAAATATACTGTATATTATTGGCCCGCCTCTGCCCATGTATTCGACATTAGGTAGTATCTCCAAAATCATAAGCACCTGGTGTAAGTCTGGACGTGAGTAGGTGGCTTGTGAGAAACCTGAAATGGATCAAAAAGCTAGAAGCAACTGGAGTCCTTTCGGTCTCCTTCTAACCGCCTGAAACTCTTCTGAACTTCTTTTCTCACCTCGTGACAGATTGGTTGCAACACAAACACAATTTATAGGTGGAACATCTCAGGCGCACTACGAACATCGTAAACCACATGCAGCATTCCTTGATAGTGGGTCTTTCTGTGGGGCTAGGGGTGAGGGGAGGAGAGTGTTAGTTGGTCAGGGCAAAAGGAAGATCCAATGGAAACCATTTGACATTTGTGGTTGTTGAAAACAACATCAACGACAAAAATGCTGGATGCTGGTTTTAATATTAGTTCACAGAAAGCCACAAAAGGACCCACTATCCTGGCTCTCGTATATGGATTATCCTTTTCTTTTTTTTTAAATTTTGAAAATCAATTTTTTTTCTCAAATAGTCCAAGCTTGTCGATCTGCGTGCATCTAATGTTAAAAATGAGGTAATAACTGCTGTGCAGTGTGTTCTTCTAGTCAGAAGGCAGTTGGTGATCATGCAGGAGTCACATGATCAGGGGGGCTGCATCTCCCATCATCCCTCAGGTCAGTGAATAGGGGATAGTGGGTCTCTTTGAGGACTTTCAAGCCTGAGTGGGGAATGGGCAACATATGATTCCTAGAAAAAGGAGGAAAACACAACACATAAGCAAAAAACGGAAAAAAAAAACGAAACCAAAAAAACAATGTGCAAAAAATACAAGCTAGGAGAAACAAAATGACTCAGGCATGTCCAAAAACAGCGTGGTGCAAAGAGATGACAAAAAACGTGACTACATGCCACAACAAGGGAGTGGGGATGGGCGTGTGGCCAGGCAGGGGGGTGTGGGCAACAAATCGGAGACTTTACGCTGCACTCTGAAAGGTCTTCAAAGAGACTTCTTAAATGCAGCACAATCGGAGGCTGGGGTTTCTATAGGTCACTGGAGGATTTAGAGCAATGCTGCATGTTTTTCTCTTACTCGGTTTTTTAAACACCAATGCAGTCTTGGTACAAAAACAAAGACGAGCAGGCGGGAGACGGCCACTCACATTGCTGGCTGGGGTCCGTGTCAGTCGTCAGCTTGACGTAGTTGGAGGGGAACAGGCCCACAGAGCCGTTGAGCTCCCCCTTCCACCAGTCTGGGTCCTCCTTGCTCAGGACATTTATAATCTGCCCTTTCCCGAAGGCCAGCTCATCATCGTTCTGCGCAACGTAGTCGTACATGCCTATCACCTGACACACTGGAAGACAAAACCACACGTTCACCGGTGAGGCCTGCGCTCAGAGGTCAAAATGGGGAAAATGAGCTGAATCCCAAAGGACATAACCCTCATATCCCCAAATAACCCCAGGTCGTTTTGTTTTCTGGCCTGGCTGTATCTAAGGCTAAAGCTCCCTGTAGTCCTGTAAACCAGCTTCACTAGGACATTGTGAAACCTCCATGGAGGCCACTAAACAAACATGACGATTGTTCCGGATCAGCTAGATTTTTATTTGCTCCACCACAAACCAGGAGACTGAATCCGCACCACATGAAAAGACATTTGTGCCCTTGGGAGGAGAAGCCATACCTGATGAACAGTGAAACCATTCATGGCTTTGGTCCTTCCCCTCATATTAGAGCATTTGTCTGGTAGGGAGCCTGTGTGGTTTTTTTGCATAAAATTTCATAGCAGTTATTTTGCTTTTAATTGTTAACCACATATTACTGCCTTTAAAAAGACATTTTGTTTGCAACACAGAAAGACATTTTCTAGGGATCTGTTAGCAGTCACTGGCTATAATTCCATGTTCCCATTTGGTAGAGACATTTGGTTGAGTTGAGCTCCTACACTATACAACATTCATATCCTAAGAAACCACTTAATTTGTAGATTCACACTTCACAAACCTTCACTTGCAGACTCAAAGGCTTTACGGATTCTGGCAAACTTTACCAACCTTTCATAATCCCCTTGAACGCAGTCTTGTTACACTAGCAGGTAGGCGCACTCACAGCCAGTCACTAGTGACTCATTTGCTGCCTGTATTTGCAAACCTGCACTGTTACCAAAACAGCAGTTTGTGAAAATATGTGCCCACTAGCCCTTCTGCCCTGTCTCGGACACGCACCTGCACTGGGTCCAGAGGGTTTGGGGGGCTCCGTGGGGGTACTCTTACTCGTTCCTGGGCTCAGCAATTTCACGTAATTTGCTGGGAACCAGCCAATTTGCCGTTTCTTCCCTCTTGCCTGTAAAACACAGCGAGACTGTTGTTTAAAACTTGAGGCGCTTCCCAACGCGACATGCAGGGGACCGGAGCTTCAGTCAAAAGCTAACTCGGAAGTACAAAAATCCGACTTTTATTGCTGCTCTCAATTCCAAACGCAACCACCACAGACTCGGAATGAATGAGGTTGTCAGAAAAAAAAGGCACAAGATTTATTCAGCTATGAGACTGGATGCGCAAACAGAAAAACAGGGACCCTGGGCCCACGACCGCACACAACATTAGTGGCGCCAACCACAAGATGGCGATCATCACAGGCACAATTACCGCTCACAAGAAGCCAGTGCAGTTCTCTTTCCTGTGTATTTTTGATGTACTTGGGAACACGCTCCCCTGGTGTCTTTTCCCTCAAATCTCACTGCTCCAGAGTGGAGGGTTTTCAGGGGTCAGCATAGACATCAGTATCCGACTTTCACTGGCAGAAAACCTATGCTCTGACAGGCAGCTTACAGACCTGACACTCAGCTCAGCATTTTTCCTGAATGCATATCAGAATGCAAGTATTTCTGTTCGTGTGAAATTAGGAATTCTATCTCATTTTAATTTTAAATGTTAAATCCTTGTTTTATTTCAGCTTGTGAGGTTGAAGGCACATCACAGCACAGGAAAAAAACAGGCCTCTTGGAGTTAGATGTTTCTGAGATATATTTTAATAAAAAAATGGAAAATAAAATTGTGATTCCTGGAGGAATGAGGCAGAGTGACACCAGTCCTGACAGCGAGCCGACGCCTGATATCTGGGGTTTGTCTTGTTCTTATGAAAGACATGAACCAGCATGAAAGGTCGGCTGTAGAGCGAGACTCACCTGCAGCTCCCCTTCCCACCAGCCCCCTGGGTTCTTCTTCCTGACGAGGATGAGCTGCCCGGGAGCCAGGGTCAGCTGCTCAGCTCCTGTTGCGGTGTACGGAGCGATGACCTGGGCAATCTCTGTCGGAGCACAGCAGAGAAAGGCCGGCTGAGGTTTGCGAGTGAGCTTGCATACATGTCCAAGGAGGCGCCAAAATTTTTTAAAACTCAAACTGGCAGGTTTCCACACAAGACTTCGCCAGAAGACTTCATGAACACACTGTATAGTGCAAACAGGCCTGATGCCATTTTAAAATGGGCTTTAACACTGCCTAAAGTGAACAGATTCAAAATCTTCAGAGAAAATAAAAGTGTCAAAATTCTTAAGAGAAAGAAAAGAGTCACTGAGTAACTTATTGTTAAGTTCTTGAATAAAATGATTGGTTTATCTGACTTACATGCTTTGGACTTGCGAAATTCAATTGGGGCTTTTTGTGAAGTTGTGGGAACAAGATAAGAGAAAAACTCCATCCATTTCATAAATATCACCTGAGATTATTTTGAAAAGTAATCTTTGTCAGACACACCCCGACAGCCAGGGATACTATACTTTTGAAGCTTAAGAAACTGAATGCTCTTTAAATATTGACAACAAATAAAGCAGGCTTTCAACTGCTCATAAAGACACCACAGATAAAGCAGAAAATTGCTTGGACACAAACCTCTTTCATGTATTTATTAGCTAACACACCAAATCTAAATTGTATATATTGGTCCACAGTGAAATCAGTAATAAAACCAAAAGTCAGTTACACAAAGGACAGTATACAATGAATTAGAAATACCTAAGAAGACCTACAATATGAACCGTTACAGAAAGGACCTGGTCAACCCTAAGTCATGATGTGGTTCAAGCCAATTCCTCACAAAAAAATTGCATTCGTGTATGTGCAAATCTGAAAAAAAATGGTTTCCCAATAACACACAATTCCAAGAGCAGAGTACAACTATAATAATAAATTAACAAAAATAACCAGGACAAAAGAAATCACATCCCACACACCGTAACTTGCTAGGATGTCACAGGGACCAGCACAAACTCGTCAGACGTGTATAATGTTAAATGTGCACATTTGTGATGAGGAGCCTGACTCAAGAGCTGGAGGTGTCTTACTGTTTGGTGAAACACTGCTTTGACAAAGAACACCTCTTGTGAATGTCCGTGTACTCTTACATATTACTGCATGCTCCAGACCAGACCAAACTGCTGATGAAGCATGAGTTTCGTGGCACAAACAGCGCCGTATTAATCACAGACCAGCCTGAAAAAAAAGGCTCTAATGAGAAACTTACCTGGCTTCTTTCCCAGACTCCCCGTCTTCCCAGATGACCCGATTCCCTGTGCATTTCAAAAGGAAGGGACTTAATTGTAAATTCAGGAATCCTATTACACCACAAGACAGTGTTAATAGATCTTTCTAACACCGATTAGGAATTTGATTTCAAATCTTTCAAGTTAAGGAACTCGCCAAAACACTAGGGCTATATATTCTAACAGGAACATATAAGTATTATTTTCTTCACTCTGCTTCTCACAGCAGTAGCATCTGTGAATCCAGACTTCAGAACTTTGGAAGGAGTGATTTTACATGCTGACAAAGACAGCACATTTTCTTTGTACCATAAAATATATCCACACTGCCAGCCTCTCAGGTCTTTCACACAACTCACATCCCAGAATCTTGTGAAGAAAACTGCAGTTTATTCACAGTTGGCACTGCAAATTGAATGCCTGAGGAGGCCTTTACTTAACACCATTTCCTTTACTTCCACTAAGAAAAATATTTTATTATATAGAATTCAGACTTGCTTCATTCTGAAGTCTTCTTAACCTTTGGGAATCTTTAAAATAATGGCTTACTTATTAAAGTAATGCTAAGCATGTGGTGCCTTTGTATGATTTTTCTTTAGTCTCCTAAACTCTTTCCTAGGGGCCTGTTATATGATATTTCTTATAACAGCTCGTGGTAGTCAAAGTGTTTTTTTTAACCATAACCGTTATTGCAAACTTGGAAGTGCTTCTCAAGCTTGGATACTTTGCTCTTTTCAACAGAAGGGAGTGAGAAGAGCAAACGACAGATGTCACATTCCAGGGCCCTGTGGCTCATAGCTGAAAGGGAGAACGGGACACGAGAATCTGGAGCACGATTGGGGAGTCTGAGCACACAAACAGCACTGACCTCGGAGTCCTTGGGCTTGACATAGTTTGAGGGGAACACTCCCGTCTTGTCTCCCACCACACCAGTCCACCAGTCGCCCTCCTTCTTGGTGACAAGAATCATATCTCCCTGCTGAAAGGTGAGGTCACCCTGCTCGTTGCTCTCGTAAGTGTACATCGCTATATACTCTTTAAGAAAACAAAGAAGGAGACAATCAACACGCAGCCTCCTTTTAGCTGTTAAGATCCTTCATGGCAGCGGTTTCAATATGCTGGAAGATACTTTTCGAGTTAATGGTAGAATCAATACATCCTTATTATACAAAAATGCTATTAGAAAAGCAAACCACTGAGTGAGAGATGCTTGTATAAACAACTAGATGCCCTGAGGGGACATGTGGACTCTGAGGACAAGTTCATGGACATTCTGGTGAAAACCCTGTTTTACATGACTGAAAACGAAGATTGCGTTCTTTACCCAGACAGTCTCCAGCTTCCTCTTTAGTCCCCAAAGCAGACCAGAAAAAGTGTAATCTAAGGTGTTTCATCTTAACAAGACCAACTTGCTCAGGGATTTCAGTGGGACCTGAGATTGATTTGATAGCTCTTCTGTGAGAAACCCGGAGTGCCTGTGGCTATCAGATCAGTGCTTGACCGGAAAGACTGTACAGAATATGTCTTTTCAAAAGATACTGATAATTTGTGCGCTCTCAGGCAATACTCTAGAAATAATTCCCAAGTTCCAAAACCTAAACCTATAAAGGTTGATAACAGGCAGCACTCTCCCTTGAAGACATCTTTATTTTCAAATTACAGAAGGAAATTTACTAGCTATAAATGGTGTTTCTGCTGCATTCAACTGGTTGTAACTGCTCTTTACAATGACCTGGAAATCATCGTTGCTACTGAAGTAGATAACAAAATAGGAATTTTTACAAACAAATATATTTGTAGGTTTTTTTTACAGAGAGTCACTGAGCTGAAGCATGAAAGCAACCTTCCCTCTGACCAGAACATTTGTGGTTCTGGTCTGCAATGAAGACAATTTTCCACTCAGAAAGGGAAGATGTAAGATGTTTACATTGGTTTTAAGAAGTGTGATGCACTTGTCTGAGCAAGGTCCTTCTTCTAAAAGGCAACTTGAGTTCTGTGAAGAAACTTCGAATTGAATAAACACAAGTACTGAAATTGAGGAATTTATGACCATGCCCTGCATCAACTTCAGCAAACAAGAATAGTCCCTTATTCTTCCTGAACTGCTCGCTTAAACTGGAACTGAACAGCCATGACCGAGGCCAACACGGGATATCAAATGGTTGTGTTGAAAGGGTAGATGGGTCACAGCATCCTTTATCAGCTTTCTTCCTGGCAGGAAACTGAACTAACCAGCTGCTCCTGCACTAGGTTCAGCTTGCGACTCTGCAGCGTACATATCAGTGCCCTACCTTCTGCAGGGTCCGTGGGTTTACTGGGCGAAGGCGTGGGTCTTTTCACACTCGGGGGGCTTTCAGAGGATCCAGACTCGATGCTTTGGAGGAAAGCAAAAAGCCACATGAAACACAGCTTTGATGTTTTCAAGTCCATTCCTGTTCCACCATTTCCTACTTTGGGTTTCAGCAGGGCTTGCTCCTTTTTGAGTTCCGGCTTTTAAAAACGTAAATCAACTTAAAAAAAAAACATGCTGATAACGATTAAATTGGATTTAAGCTTCAAAACAGTGGAGCATCCCGAAACAGCTACTCAGGTTACATGTAGTTCCGCTTTAAAAGCTGGATTCACACCTTTCTGGCTTCCTTACATCGGTGTAAGTAGTAACAGCTGTTAGTACTGTGTGGCATCTAGATTAGGGTGAATCTGACATGATGTGTGGACTTCAATATTAACTGCAGAAGGGAGAAATAGTAAAAAAAAAACACCAGGAAAGTGATTACAGTCAGTTTTAGGCAGCTGCTGCTGAGGTCAGGGCTCTGCTGCTCTCCCTCTGAGGGAGGTGTGCATTTCTTCATGGTACTCGTATGAGAGATTTCTCTAGTAAATGCCCTGCTATATAAATGGGCCTCAAGTCACCATTATAAATATGAATTTGTTTTCAATTGCTCTAACTGGTTTAATAAAGGAAGAAAGAAGGTTGAATTCTTCTGCTGTAGTTCTAAATTTACTTGCAGTAAACCAACAGGCCTTAAAAACCTTCACCACAATTCTATTCATAAACACTTTATAAAAACCTGTACAGGAAATCAGTGTGAAGGAAATCATTGAACTTTGTCTAATAATCCTATTAAGCAGATCTACTATACATTATATGGAGAGATGCACGGCTAAAAACATGAGGAAATAATGACTTTTTTTTTACCCACGAGACAGAATGGGCTGATGGGGGACAACACTCTTTGGTGGCGTGATGGCCAATCACTGTACCTCTTTCATGTCTGGTTTTTAACAGGGCAACAGTGACAATTCCAGCATTAAATGCTGATAATTGTATAAATCAAACACAGAGTTAAGAGCTCAGAGAAATTCCCACCCTCTTGCTCTCTAACGAGCTTTAGTTTCCTGCACAGCTCCTGCACACCAGCCATCCCTGGCCAGGAAAAGCACTGAACACAGCACCACACAGCCACAGACGACTGTCCTGAGGATCACTGTGTCAGCATGTTCTCGAAGGAGTTCGACTGCGGAGTAGCGTTGGCGTACGAGTTGTCCTCACACAGCATTCCCTCTGAGAGGAAGAAAGGGTTTTGGGGCGAGCCAAGCTCTGTTGAGAGCACTGTGACGCACGCATCCATAACAGGACCCACAGGCAGCAGCTGGGAGTTCCTTACCTCATGGATTTCCTCATGGGCCCGGAGATGAGCTTGACGTAAGACTTGGGAAACCATCCCTTCTGCCCCTGCACCTCCCCGAACCACCACATGTCCTGCTGCTCCAGCACAGTGATGATGTCGTTCTTGTTGAAGTTCAGGTGGTTGTCCTTCTTGGCCCGCCATGGATACAGAGCCTGGGCCTGAAGACCCTCCACCTTCTCCCCCTGTGAAACAGCAGCAGGACGTCGGGCTTAGCATAGCTCGCTTTCACAAAAGCACCCCCTACTGGACACGCGGGCGCACGCCAACCTGCTCTCCAGTATAAAAAGAATGTCTCATTCTTTTTCACAAACATGCAACTTCCAGGAATGAGTGTTCTAATGCCACAGCTCATGGTTCACAACCTTAATCCCTATATTGCAACTAAGCTACTTAAAATGGTTAATTTTGTGAACAGGCAGCATTTAATCTCAGTGCAAATATCTTCCTTCTCCTTTATGGTGGATTACTGTCTCCAAGGCCAAGCTACAGAAGAAAGCTTCCTGCACGCCACCAGCTTCCCTGTCCCTCAAGTGTGCGCTTACCTGCCCCAGCACTGGAGAGGGGGAGGAGCCTGTGATAGTGGCAGGGGTGAAGGCTGACCTCTGGCGCAGCTGACCAGTGCTGGGCACCGTCAGCGAGGGCTGAGTGGGCCAGGCATCCCAGCCATCCCCCTCCGTCTTCTCGGAATTGTTGGACGGCCACCTGTCAGCAACACAACGGGAAATACGGGAGCTTACACAACAGCGGACCAGAATACCCCTCGGTTTCTCTGTCTAGCTTTAAGGATCTCACTGAGTCAGCGCTGACCAACTGGCCCCAATGACCACTCCTTCGCAGGCTTTAATCACAAATTGCTTTAAAACTATAAGGCTGTAATTCTCCAGGATCTTACAGAAGAAGAGCTGCTTGCGTGCCGGTGTTAAAAGTAGGCAGGCGGTATCTTTGATGAGAGTTGTCATGTTTTATCTACTGCGCATCCATTTCAGTCTGATCCAGATCAGACAGGGCCCCGTCTGATCCATTTCCTGCTCATGGAGGTGCAGTAATTCTACAGCGAACAGTAGGTACTCCTTCAAGCAGGACAGAGAAAAGCAGACTTCAACAGCAACACAAGCTCACCCTCGGTGGACAGACAAAAATTGAAGAGCATTCCCTTAACCGGGGCCTCGTAACACATCGGGTTGTCCAACTTTCCGTCAGGACAGTTGAGAAGAAGACCTGAGACAGCTATTTAAATCACCGCCTTTGTTTTTTGTTGTCCGTTATGCAAGCTGATAGAACTGCTGTTCGCACCAAATACACCCTAGATGGTACTTTAGAAAGTTTTAAATGTCTTTAAAAAAGAAATTTGCAAGAAAAAATTCATGGGCTTAATTGTTGTAGGTTAATTACCTACTTTTTGCAATCCGTGTTAAAGGTAAGGTTTGGAAAACAATAACACTACAATTGGACATCTTGAGCTAACAAGGGACCACCCAAAAGTACAGCTCTCTGAAAGAAAACCTTTATCTGAGTTACATCAACCTATTTCCTAACTGCTTCATCCAATCCAATGCTGCGAGGGAGCCAGAGCCGATTCCAGGAGACAACGGGCGCAAGGCAAGATACACCCTGGATGGGACGCCAGTCCATTGCAGGGCACACACACACACACACTCTCTCACCAGGGCCAGTTTTTCCAGAAGCCAATTAACCTACCAGCATGACTTTAGAGTGTGGGAGTCCGAATTGGAGCTCCTGGCGGAAACCCACACAAACACAAGGAAAACGTAAAACCTCAACACAGACAGCACCCCAGGAATCGAAGCCAGGGCCTGCGAGGCAGCAATGCCGACCACTGCGCCACAGATCAAGCCGTAAATCTACGAAAGCAAATTCACTGGACAGAACAGAATGAAAATCTTGGGTTCCACAACGGAACCAGTCGATTTCAACACAGAAAAGGTCTGGCTTGTTCCTGAAACCCCCCCCCCCCCTTCTCGGATGGCGATCTGGTCGACGGGGTGTGGGAAATAAGAGTCCAGGCCCGTTCACTAGACGTTGGTTGGTGGGGGCAGGGCAGGCGTCGGGACCTACGTGGAGCTGAAGTCGGCCCAGTTGCTGCCGGCGGCTGTCGTCGTGGGCGGGGCGGCGGGGGTCTCGGCGGGAGGGGGTTGGGACCCCGCGCTCACGGCGCTGGTGGGCGTGACGCGGGCCGCCACTTTGGGCGCGGATCCTGCTCCTGGTTTGAGACTGGCCGGGACGTCCGACTCGGGGATCTTCTCTGCATAGTTAGCGGGGAACCAGCCCGTCTTCCCCTTCAGCTCCCCTCCCAGCCAGCCAGGCTCCCCCGTCTGACTCTCGTCAACCTGGGAGACGAAGCGGGGGAATATCTCAGCCCGAGCTCGTACCACACAGCCGGCGCTTTCTTCGGGAATACGCACACGCTTCTGGGTTTACTCAGAAACAGCAACAAAAATACTGCATGTGCATGCGATAAATTAAATCAACATATATGTAACATACACATTCACAAGTCACGCTGATTTTGAACTGATTCAAAGGTGTCTTATGCATCTGCTTTCAGAAAGTAAAATGATCGGATGGAAATCCACAGATAATTTACATTTAAACTTTTAAAAGTATAGCACAAGGCTTCAAAAAGTGTTATTGTTTTTTTTTATTAACATTTTATTCATGTTAATTCATTTCAGTGTCATCAAGGCTCAGCTCTTTTGTGGAACTATTCATATCTCTTCCTGTCACAAATTCAATAATATTGCTACAGAATACTGTACAAAATCAATATTTTATTACGTGCCAGCAAGTGCTTTGGACTCGATGAACATTGAAATAATTTGGCATTGCTTTTCATGCATTGTACATATAGAGCTCCTGGCAAAAATAAAGATTCACTATGAAAAGCTCCTTTGACTCTGTTTGGAAAGTAGATTTGAAATCATGTTCTTAGGCTGTGCTATTTCTGAAAGCTACCTCATTACTGTGCTAATTAAGTGCTCAGGATGGCAGGACACAAACCATGTGATGGGAAGAGAATGTTAATATGGCATACGACAGCATGCACAGCTCCCACACAGCGACCAACGCCAGGCTTTAGCATGTGAGACCAGTGTGAAGATGTGCTTGGCTTGTTTGGAACTCGTGGACTTGTGAATTTCTGTACTAGAAGGAACATCTGACTCAGAACTGATCGCACCACTTCTCGGACTGGGTGGAACATGAAAGACCAGGCACTTCTGCCTTTGCGGGTGCTCTATTTTTCTTTGGCTACACGTAGTGCTGCCATTTCTTGAAGGGTTAGTGAAAGGAGCTAATTAGGTAGCAAAAGGAGCTAATTAGGTTGCTCAAATCTAAAAAAGACAGGCATATTACTGGATTCTGTCAACTTTCGGGCTTGTCAGCCCATTTGAGAGGGGCTTTTCACCATTTGGTTTGTGTCTTTATAGTCCTTTGCGAGTAAGTCTGGGTGAGATTTTATAAGATGCTGAGGAAAATCTACACATTTTAGAGGCCAGCACTTTATATATAAGCATTAAATTGATGTCAGCTACCCTGCTTGATTCTTTGGAGTGTGGCTGTGAGGTCGGCTCTAGAAGCCTCATTCTAGCACATTTCAGTCCATCAATGTAGCCGCTGCTCTGAAGGTGCAGCTGTCCTTCAGTAAGAACAGAGATGTGGAATGCTCTGAACCATGACCTCCTACTGGTGAAATACCCACAGTCTTCCTTCACTTACCCACTCTCCTTTAACCTCCAGCGAAGAAGCAAAGAGGCGGAGAGAACGGTGTGTTAATGCACAACGCAATCATCAGTTAACACATTTAACTCCCCAACCATTTACATAGGGGCACGAATCTGAGCCATTTGTTTTATACGTGCCCATAGAAACTAGCCTCCGACAACAGCAATTCAATTGGGTACAAATGCTTTATGAATAAAGGGAATATATAGGCATAAGCGTATCTGAAAATCAATTAACATGACTATGGAACTTCTCGAATTGTAAAAGGACACCAAGAACTTAAATCCTTCTCATTAGTGTCAGAAAAAGTTCTTTTTACCACCTGAAAAAAGTTGATACACCATAAGTTTCCAAAAACATCTGGCAGGGATTCAGTTACTGAAAATAAGTCTTTCCACTAACTAATAGGCTCAGATTTGAAACGCTGAAGTAAACACTGTACTGAAATAAATCTTTATCTTTGTTAAATAATACCTTAATATTATGTAGATTAGAAAACACATCCACCCTGTAGAAATGAAGGAAAGATACTTTTTTTAAATTAACCCAGAACGCTCACAAGCATTGAGCTAGCTGTTATTTTTTCTTCAGCAACAAAGATATTTAAGATATTCGCTCACCATAATGATGTCCCCGGGCTGTATTGTGATTTCATCGTGACTCCGTGCGTCAAACGGGTACAGAGCTCTGTAGAACACCACCTTCACGTTGTCCTGGTCAAAGCCCGTCACAGGAGACTTCTCTGTCGGAGGAGACCGAAAAGTCAGAAAACAGGGCGAACGTCCGTGTTGAAACTGCATCACCAACAAAGGCTTTTTGCAATTAAATACTCATGCACTTATTAACACGGTATAGATAAGCATCAGAGCCTTGTACAAGCAGAATGGCAATTATATAAATGAGCCAATTAGCAATTCATTAAGAAAAAGACTGAGCCAAGATCTTGAACTGAAATGAATGTTCAACATCACACCTCTCCCACCAGGAAAACCTCTAGAAGGTTAAAAAACAAACATCAGAGCATTAAATGATGCTTTTTTAAAGGCCATTTATGAAACACATCAGTCATTTAAGAAATCAATGCTTTTCTTCAGAACCTCAGAGGTCAGGGGCCTTTTGGTAGCTATGCCCTGACTTGCTCATAACACCGGTTCTTCTATGACGCTCCTATAAATGAAAGGGGAAATTCCCCTGTTCTATTATCAGATCAGACATTGGATCAAAGGGAAAGAAAGGAAAAATAATACTGTCTTATTACTAGTATTATTTTAACCAGAGATATCTCCCTGTTAGAATCTCAACACTAACTCATTCCCTTCTGGGGCTTTTTCTTTTAACTTACAGAAAATGAACAACAGCTGTGTGTGATCTGAGAGCCCACAGGAGTCAACCCCTTCCTCCAATTTGCACGTAGAAATTCCTATGATTACAACGTTTGAGTTAAGAGGCCCTCTTGTGGCCCTACGCAGAATTACAGGCTGTCCTGCCATAGGCAAATTGGGAAAGTTGCTTTCATTTCTTAAAGATCAAAGCGGATTTGTAATTGTTATCATCTGAAAGGATTAGGCTGTGTAGACTTCGAACTCACAGAAAAGCTTAGCACACCAACAATGGCTGAAATTATACTAACAAGGAGTACATGACAAACAGAAAAAACAAAGGTAACAGAAGAGAGTGAAACTGTAAGACAGGGAACTGGGACTTGACTGGGGTGCTGAGAACTTTATAACAGTCAGTGGAAAACAGCTATTAGAATGAATAGCCTTTTGTAAAATGAAGAGCACTTGTGATGCAAAAACTGTTACACAAACAGCTGCATCTGCTTTAGAATACTGAGATCCAACAGTGGACTCCGGTACTGGGATTCTCACATCAAGTTGGCTCTCAAGTCTCACGTCTTCATGGTTGTGGTAGAATCCAAACCAGTACCCAATTTCTGGGTGACTGCCCTCATTCAGGTGTGCTGCCTGTAATGTAACCAACTAGACTTCTGCAGAAGGCCAAAACGCTCATTGTGTGCGTGTCCCCTATACTGTAGTACCACTCCCTGTGTGAGCGTGTCCGTTACAGTGCCCATCCCAGTGTGGGTATGTTAGATACCGTATCACTCCTGCTGCAGGTGTGTCTAATACATAATACATCACTCCCAGCTGTGCCTGTTTCTCATCATTTGACCAACTAATAAGGGCCGTTAAGTCAGAAACAGTGGCAAGCAAGTTGAGAAGAGAAGACACACTGCTCCTCCAGGGCCTGAGTCAGAACCAGCGATCTAGAGCTCAGCGAGAGTGAAACCAGCAGACACAGGATAGCTCTAGGATCAGGGTTACCCGTGGGGGGCCAGGCTGCTTGGATCGGCAGCTGTCCTGGCTCAGGCTGCTGCATGAAGATCTTGTTCAGCTTGTCCTGCATCTCCTTCCGGCCCCTGCCGTCATCGTCCTGCACCCTCTTCATCCACTGCTGCTGCGCCGGCGCCGCAGGGGGGGGCTCGCCGCCCGGCTCGTCTCGCTGCTCACTCCAGGCCGCCGAGACCCCATCCTCCTCCGGCACCCGCCTGGTGTGGGGGGGAGAGGCTTTTCAGCGCGTGGCCATGCAGTGTCAGTTAACTACCCATTTTGTTGTTAAAGCACCTGGTCAAACACATGGGTGCCTTTAAAAGGAAGACCAAGGACAGAGATAAAATCTCTTGTTGAGGCTGCACTGTGTGAAGCTGAAGTCCAGCCCAGCACCTGCACTGTCTTATGCCTAATGCCTAAGCGTGCAGCAGGAACTCCTCAGGACAGCTCTTGTGCATCAGTGTCAAGACAAATAAAAGGACAAATTACCACATTGTTCCCTCACAGTTTTAACATCAACACAGCTTGAAAGATTATTTCAATAACATGTTCACATCACAGAACTCTGTGACACCACCCTGTGATTAAATGTATGGGGAAATGTCTAGATTTGTTTTTTCAATATATGATATTTAGCATATTCGCAGTGTAGTCACTATTTCATAATCCTACAATTGAACCAGCAGACAGGAAAATGACCACTATTGAGGTGCGGCAGGTCTCTAAACTGATCCACTACAGTTTTTGCAACTGCTTTCATGAACCCTCGAGGACCTGCAGCAGGACAACAGTCTGTGTAACCTACACAAAAGAGATTTCTGGATTTTGACTGAACATCTTCTAGTTTGTTCAAATAGAAACAAGCAAGTAGTGTCAATTTACATGATTGAAAAACCCATCCCCAGCCTCCCACATCCTCAATATCCCCCCAAAATGCAAAAATGCCTTTTGTTCTTGACGTGTTTCCCAGCGTGCCTCTGGGCCCTGACCTGTGTCGGTCCTCCTTCAGTTCTGCGGTCTTGCGCTCCAGCTCCACCTCCTTCTGTTCCTTCTCCTCCACTTCCACCTCCTTCTGCTTCTGCCACTGCTGCCTGCTGTGGATCTCGCGGAGCTCCTGTGTCAAGAGGGGAGCGAGACATGTTAGGGCTGGGTGACACAAGGGCCTCCATTATCCACAACAGGCCTTCGTCCTGTGCAAGCGCTCCCTTCCCCTTAACCCAGGCTAAATAGGCAGCATGTGGCTGGCTGTGCCCTCATCCATCAGTCACACTGGCAGAAACACAACAGAGTGAGTGAGGATCCCAGCAGTGGGAATTTGGGCCAAGATTTTCCCATATACCCAATTTTAGTCGGTGAGCACATTCTTTTTGGGGAAACTGTTTTGTTATGCATCATCCGATACATCAGTCCATTACTCATCAGGGATGTTCAACCCATCTGTTAAGGAGTGCTAGTAATTACTCAGACAGGACGTAAAAAGGCTTAATCCTTGAGGTGTCTTGCACAGAGCACAACACTGTTCTGTTGAATATGGAGAGACATCTGTGGCTGTCAGGGTGAGGAGGAGGCAGTGTTACACACAGCTCCAGGTTTAGAACATGCACGTTACGTTACTGAAGATTGCTGAAGACAGGAAGACAAGGGCTTGTGTCCCAACATGGGAAGCACATACCAATGCGGAAGGTATATCCCACAGTGGGACTGCAGTACCTGTGTTAACACAGGACTGCTGTTACGCAGTTTAAAACTGCATGCCATCTTCTAGTACACACTTCTGTGACTTTTGCAACAACAAAAAAAAAGATTCCCCAATTTGAAATTTTAGATTTCATCAAGTTTTGTGAATGAATAAATGTCTCTGTATTGAGGCCTGACAGAGTACGACCATGTTACGGTCCAGAGGATGGGCACGCTGGCAGCTCTCTGGCAGCACAGGCCAGGGCAGAAGCGACGTGGTGCTGGTCATTTTGGGCAAACTCAGCAATTCTAGAAAACTGTGACCTAGAATACAAAATTAGGAAATGCCAACGCAGTGATATAAAATCCTTGTCTGAAAACTGACAGGCTTAAACTTTTTCCACTGGATAGTGGCTTTCAACCTCCAAGAAGATAATAGGAACGGCACAGGCTCAGAAGGCAAGTTCCTCAATAACTAACTTTCAAGTATTTTGTAAATTTACAGTATTGTACAGTACATCAGCTTAGGACCAAACCTCAATTATCTTTGAATTTCCAGTTTCCTTTTAAGATGCATATAAATTCCCTACATTCAAACGCTAAATGGAAAATAGCACTTCAAAAGTCGAAAATACAGCACAAGGCGGTATTCACACCAGTCATCTAGACTTTGTACCAATGGTCTGTTCACATCTGATTTCTGTTCTGCTGAGGTGTTGAGTGGTTTAAACCGTGCAGATGACAAGCCATGTACATGCAGAGTTATGTACAGTAGTTTACCCACTCACAGGCACCAGACTTTACCAAGTAGTTAGAAAGTACCCGATCTGGACACAAACGCAGATTTTTCGGCACATCAGAGCCAGTTGATAAAAGCATTTGTTAGGGAGATATATTTCTTGGATATGGTGTAAGTTTGAAAAAAACATGAGTTATCATGCGACCACATCTTGAGAAATTTACCTAAAGCCTGAACATCAAAGAACTTTATACACAATACAGCAGCAACGATGATTCCCTAAGTATAATTTTAGGAACAAGTACTCCTAAGACTGGGGGCACTTCTTTACATACAAGACGGTGGAAATCCAGAAGAAACTAACCAGCATTGATGTCAAAGCCAATACTCCAGTCGGAAAATACTAGCGTGCGATTGTCAGATCAAAATGAGCCAGACTGGCCAAATGGTCTTTCCTTGTTTCTGTAACAGTTTTTATTTTCTATCTAAATCCAAGAGAAATAGTAAAAAAAAAACTGTGCAGAGAAAAAAGAGAAAGAGCGGTTTTAATCCAGTTGATTCCAACAATGCAACAATGATGCTGCTGAGAAGTCAGAGGGATATGTTACAAACTAAAATGAACGTGTTCTTGTCGGCTTTCGACAGCAGAAGCAGTGTAGAAACAAGGAATCTGTAAGATGAATTCAGCTTCTACCTTCAGAACTAACAGATAATCCACAATTCATACAGCATATTGAGGCTTCTGGGGAACAGAGATCATAGATGATCAACATATAGACAATGACCAACTTCAAGTTTATGGAAAACTTTCCACAAGTTGTATTTCACAGATTTCACTCTTGAGTCAGGCGCACTTTGCTGGTAGTAGATTTCTATCGTGTACACCTCTTACCTCACATGAACACATTTCGAAATACTATGAATACACTTCTGCAGTAAAATGAAAATTAAATCATTTATGGATAAAAGGGACTCTGCAGATCTAAAATTTACAATGGATTAAAGAAAGAAAGTGCTACACAGTCGGGAGGACTTCCCTTTTGTGTATATACAGTAAATCCATTCAAGAATTACATAAACTGAATTTGTTTCATTGTACGATGTTTTGTTTTACATCATGTCCAATTTGCGCGAGGCGAGAGCTGAAGAAGGTTCGACACAGGTCAGAGCCCAGCGGCACTCTGGGAAACACGTCAAGAACAAAAGGCAGAATCCAGGGCCTGCCCGTATTGGCAGATGTGTGTGAGAAATTCCACCGATAAGCAATAGCAATGGTGGTACCCCACAAGCATTGATAGTTTTTAAAAGGTGTTTCCGGGTTCAGAAAACAGTCTGACAGCCTTGGAGGCTCCGGTGTGGCTCACCACGCCCAGTGGAGGTGGAGGCTCACAGCCCTTCAACACCAGCCACTTCCCCAACCACAAGGCCACCCATGAGGCAACACAGCCACCTAGTGTAGCCTGGGCGTGTCTGTAGCTGCAGGTCACAAGTTGATGAACCCATTAAAAAGTCTTCTGTAACAGGTGCTTATAAATGAAAGATGCATGAGTGACCTATTTATCCGAAAGAAAGAAATGTCCACACGCAGCTTCCTTTACTAGGAAAGTTTAGCTGTATATTCAGAAAGAACACTGCTTCCTGTGACAAAAGGCCTCCATGACCATGGCCCAGAAACTCATAGAAAGAACTGCGGTGATTTTAGACAGTGCGGACATCACTCTCAATGGTGAAAGAAAATAAGACACAAGGTACCTTACAGAAAATGGAGGCATGATGCCATGAAAGAAGTTAAATGCTTGATCAGCACTGCGTGAAACTGCCTGAGCACTAGTGCCATCTGTTGAGCTGCTGCAAGACTGCAGCACTGCATAGACCCCACACAGTCACCAGCTGCTCCAGGCCCATCACAACGCATATGGACACCACATACTGCTGAGTTCAGGTCAAAAGCGAAACGTCACTCCCTTGGTAAGCATCATACTTATATAACACCTGTCCCGTCAATAACGGTACAGTCAAAGAGGGCTTCATTAACTAAACATAATTCATGTCTGTGTCTTCTGAAGACAAGCCTGTCGGAAGCTTTTGGTTGCTGCTTTTGTTACCTCATGCAGAGATGCTGTCGCTCCACTGGAGAGCAACACCATTCATTCCTACTACTCCATGTGCAAAGTCTGCCAGTTACTGAGGAGAGGAAGGCAAATTTAGCTGACTGCAAACTTTTCACATGAAGCCACAATAACCCCGCATCTCACATTCATATTAGAGCTGCATCACGTACAGTATATTTTTGATGAAAGTGTGTTATGCTTTTAAATCGCACAATCAAATGCTGGTGTGGCAATCATAGCCAGCGACTTTCACAGTCAGAATTAATTCTGACCACATTCGAAATGGTACGTTGGGTGTAATATTGCATGACAGGATGCACCAAATGCCCCATGACTTCATCAAATCCTTTTGTCCTGCACGTGAAGAGTGAAGCTACTACATTATCTCAAAACAAACCAAAACACATCAATTTGAATACACTGGTCCATGCAGAAGATCATGACCCAAAGCTCTGCAGAAAGCCAGTGCACTGAAGTCATACTGCAATGCCACCCTGGAGAAGCAGCCTTACACTGCAAGCCCATGAGCACTGCAAGCAGGTGGGAAGCAATTTTGCTGACGATGCTCAGCGCTCTCTTTGAATGCGTCTCCAAAGAGAGCAGCACGCAGCTGAGGAAGGGCAGGGAACCTTCAAGTAGGAGTCTAAGACGTTGACGCAGCTCAGTAGGGAAGACAGGCTCTCCAGTAAAGCTTCATCCACACTCCCCGACTGGAAGAAATAAAAAGGCTCACGTTTAACGAGCAGTGGGAAAAGAAGTCATCACCGAAAAGAAGGACTGGATAATGAGAACAGCATAAAAACAACAACAATAGCTGAGCTTTTCAGCAAAAGCCATCGATACAGTTTAGAGACCTGTCATCTATCTGGTTTACATATAACCAGCAGGCTTTGAAACTTCCTTCTTTGGTCTGACAACCACCTGGCATAGTGGCAGTGAAACACGAACCAGAAGACGCAAGTGGAAACTTAGAGGAAGTGTATTTAGAACTGAGAACAGGAGGCGCTTCCACATCCTCATGTCCTAGTGTGTAAAACAGGAGTGGCTCAGCGATCTTCATTTCCCCATCCTTCCCTGTGGGCATGGGAGTTGGTTGCAGAGAGCCAGAAACGTCAAGACTCAACCGGTATTTCCAAATTGGGAGCATATATACAATTTTAAAAAATACCTTGCCAGACGTAGTTACAAAAATAAATTACATTTCGCATTCTGCTACAATTCAAACCTCACTGTCCTCTGTCTTAAGTAGAAAGTCCATACGGCAGCTTTCAAAGTGTACTGTAAGTTCTTCCCCCAAAATGCATGACAATTTCAGATGTTAGGAGACATTTGAGTTTTGGGTTGAAAAGTGTTAAAAATATATGTTTATACCAAAAAATTAAGTCCATCAGTATGGGTTTTTCAGGCCTTTGATTAGCTAAGCAAACACTCCTTCTGGGCACACAGCAAGCTCAAGGGGCCGTCTGCACCCAGTGTCTACCTGTGCCCCCCCCAACTCCTCCGCCATCAGGTCCACCTGCAGCCTCTGTATCCGGCCTGTGCACACCTGGTAAAACCCGCCCAGCACCTACGGGGCAGGTAACCACAGCACAGGAGAGCTGATGGAGCAGAGTCCAAAAACACATTGAAATAATAGAACAGACAGACAAAAAAAAACAAGCCTGCTTCCTCCTCTTCCTCAAGACACAGCCTAGACGTAATGCGTAAAAAAAAAAGTTCACTGATTGCTTTCTGATTACCTGCTGTTCTTCGAAAGCTATTGGAGACTCTGCTACAGAACTTGCTGCACTCATTTTGAAAAGAGGAAGGCGCCTTTCGTCTACCAGACAATGCATCTGAGCAACCAAGGCCTCCGATCAGAGGCGGTCTGATCAGAGTTCTCTTCAGGAGATGCCTTCAATGACGCAGCTGGTAGCTGAAGATTAACACCGCATTAAAAACACCATCCAAAAAAAGACATGATAGGCAACAATCTCCACGAAAACAGATAGGAGAAAAGTACATCTGCATATTGCAAAAGCAAATTTTTCTAATTTGGTATGAGTTGTAGAAATAAATCTATGTATTTGTAGTTCTGCTACAAATGTCTCATAATTAAAGAAAGTGCACCTCACAAACTACAGAAAGAAAATGTGCTGAGTGACCAAGTCATGCTTCCCTTTTCCAAAAACGTCTCTAAGGAAAGTTATTTTGGATGGATTTTAGGAATGTTTTATTTGTGGAAATGTAATGGTCAGGGAGATGGTGCTCAATGGGAGAGAGCTGTGGTGAGACGGCGATTGGGTCCAGTGCTTAGGGAAAACATTTTCTTTTACTCAGAGGTTTGATTACTGTGTGCCACCCTGTAAAACAGTCTCCTAATCTGCCTGTGCTTGGAAGAAATTAACTCAGGTTTCATGTTGGCTGTGATTCTCCATTCCAGAGCATGCGGGCATGGAGCGTTGACCCCAGACTCTGAGTACAAACATATCAGTTAAATTTGATAAAGCAATTAATGATACCTGGTTCACGACTTGGAAAAAAAAAATCGACCAATCCTAAAACATAATAAGAGAAGTAACTGCTGGACCTGTGGAACTAAACATCAGAACCAAAGGAATAAGGACACAAAAGCTGTTCCTTCAGGCTGGTTCTTCAGACAGTGAAGTTGGATGAGCAGGACACCAGCAGGGAAAGAGATCAGTTAGATAACCTTCCAGAACCCGAGTAACACTGTTAACTTGCTCCAATCAAATAAGGTTAGACGTACATGTAGCTACAGCGACTACGGTCAGAATGCATTTGGGTAAATTAAAACATACCCTATTCTTCCAATGCTCGTTAACTTCCCATGCATCTGTAGCAGATGTGCAAGACAACTGCTATGCCCTGCTAAACCTCAAATCGTTTTTTAGTTTTAAAGTAGGCCACTTGTTGGATTAACAAGCGTACACATTCTAAGGAACTTAAAAGTCAATAAAACCATTTTCTGAAGAGAAATATAATTTTCACTAACGATAAGGAACAGACTGACATCGTGAGGCTCTCCAAAGTAGCTAACTGGTTAGGAAAAAAAATGCTTTGGCTCCACACATCTCATAAACTGCTACTTTTTTTAGTGCAGCCCTCCACTACACTTTCTTGATCCAGCAAGGGGGAGGAACGAGGACTCCTGCCCACACTTCTCCAGTTCGCTTGCCTCTTCAAGCCATTCATCATTTGAAACGCTAATATCTCCCTGAAACTCGACAGGAGAGGTCTTCGCAACGAACTGCCACCGAGCGTTTTCACAGCCCCTGAAACATTGCAGCCATTCGTGCCAAGGCCTCGCAGCTTTCCTCCCCCCCTTCGTTGGGAGTGAGCAAGCTCAGCACCAGCGGTTGCCGCACACTATTCCGAAACCCCACAGGTCACTGAGTGCAGAAAACCGAGAACATATCAGCCCTCGGCACTGGGGTAACTGAGGGAATCGCTGGCCAGTCGGCCGGAGGCTTCCAACGACAGGGCTCCTGACCGAGCCGCCCGTGGGCCCCCAGAAACACATTGACGCAGGGCTGCAGGCCGAGAGCTGGCCTGACCCACGCAGACGAGCAACTCTTCTGCCTGCCGCCGAGGCGGCTCTGTGCAGGTCTCCGGTACCTTGAGCTGATTGTTGAAGACGTCGATCTCCAGCAGCTTGGACCGGGTCTCCTTCTCCACCACATCCAGCTGGTCTCTCAGCTGCTGTCGCTTGCTCTCCTTGGCTTCCAGGGCCTTCCTGACGGTCAGGAGGGAATCTCCTGCAAAGGCCGATGATAGCGGATCACGGACCGTGACAGTGAGGTGACGGGGCAGGGTCAGTTACACAATTCTAACAAACAGACTCAGCCACTCATCAGACCTTGTTGGCCTCATTCTAAGTCGTTTCACCTGCATCTGGTTTTAGAAACTGGAATCTTCAGTTTTTTATGCGTAAAATTATTCTGATTAGTCTTACATCACAATGACTGATAGTTGTAATACCCACGGTACTTTACAGCAGTGTTGCATTAAAAATGCAGCAAATAAGTACTGGAACTAATGTGTTGTAGTTTTTAGTATCTATAAGTTTGGTGTCATAATACTGGAAGTGGAAGCTACAGGGAAGAAACTATAAATCTGAACAGGATGTATTTCTTCACCGAAGAGTTGTGGGAGAACAGAACAAGCTGCCCAACCATGTTTTTAAAGCTGCTACTCAGATATTTCTTTCTAGAAGCAGCTGGATAAGATCTTTTGATCACTTGGCTACTACCAAATGAGCCAGATAGCCTTCTTCTCTTTTGTCACCTTTCTGATGTGCTTACTGCAGTTGGTCAATATTAATATAATGACGTGACATTTATAAAATGAATGCAATCATCATTAAGCAGATCATTCTATCAAAGTTCATGTACAGTTCCCATGTAGGCTCATTAAAAAAAGGACTTTAACAGTTCAGTACAATCTACAGTAAACCTGTTACAACAGCTGTTTCTAATTATTCTTCATAAACGGATCATTGGCTCTTTTACACACATTTCAGCTTCGACAAGATCACAAGGCGACTGGCTTCAACTTTGGAAAAAGCCATCTGTGGTAAAAATGTTAGCATTTAATGCCCTGTGAAGGTTGTGATTTTAAACAATAAAAAATTTGGTGATGGAAACAGTGTAAAGTTTGTAACTTAGTGACCTAATGCAACCTTTGTTATGACCAACTGAAATTAAACAGGTCATGGTATAAAAAAGCACCTATAGTCAAAATGCATCTCTGTATACTTCTGATGCTACCATCCTTGCTTAGATCCAGTCAAAATTAAAAATCCACAGTCCATCAGAACAGTGGGATCAGGGATACCTACTGTGCAAACTGTTTTGCTGCACCTGTTTTAATTGGTCATTTAGGGACTGCTTTTCTGGGATCAGACTTCCAAGCAACTGCTGAGATTCCTGTCAAAACCAAGGACATCAGAAAGAGAAGATCAAACCGTTACCAACACTGAACTCCTAGGTTTCATATCCAAAGCAAACAATGCAATACATACAGGGAATCTCATGAAAACAAACATAAAAAGACTTTGCATGAGGATTACAATCGCACTGATTGATATTACATTGATGAAAAAATCACTTAGACACAAAAGAACTTCAAAAAGCCAAACAAATTTGTGGATTTCCCAAGAAAAATATATTTGTACACACCGCTGAAGGTAAAGTCAGATTTGAATATCAATCTGTATATAAAATTGTGGAAGTGAAGAAGTAGAGGGAGAGTATTATGATTTTCCTTATTCTATTTCTAAACTCAGCTATTATTGCAAAACAAGGTTCTACTGCTGTTCTATGCTCAACTTACCTTCCTGCTTTAACCTGCTTTTCACTGCTGCAATTCCTTAATTTAAGGGGATAATTTGTTCTTTTGTGCTCTTTAGACTCTTCTATCCCAGTTAAGGAGAGTATAAGAAAAAGTATAAAGAAACAGCCATGTGCATCTTGTACAAAAGATTCCTACCACATTAAATTTGAACGTGTCTGCGGGGTTATTATTGTAGACTCTTACTTACTCCTTTCTTACTACTGGCTTACTACTTTCTGATAACATTCACTCAAAGCAGTGTGTCAAGTGAAAATGCTCCAGGCGGGACTGCATGCTGGGCACCACGCACCCACAACATCCACGCGTGACGGGGGCCCCACCTGCAGCTGCTGCTGAAGATGCGTGATCTCCGCAATCCTCAGCTCCCGCGTCTTGTTCGTGCTCTCGATCTCGTGCCGCTGGGCCGACAGGCGGAACCGGATGTCCTGCAGCTTCCCTTCCAGCTGGTGCTTCTTGTCGTTCTGCAGAGGGGGGTGAAGAGGTTAAAGCCCTGTGCCGCGATCGCTCTTTCGAAACTCAGGATTCTGCACTTTTCCAAGCGCTCTCCACAGACCTCTAAAGCACCATCGCAGATCACCGATTAGCCCTACCAAACTGTAGCTCTCCTAAAGTGCATTAAAAATGGTCATGCATATCCTTCCAACATGGAATCAACAACTGTTGATCGATGTTGCTCACTGCTACAACCTCTGAACCAGCGTGGTTGAGTGGACGACTCTTTACCAGAGCTACTGGTCACTGTTGTTTAACTGCTGCAAGCTCCACACTGCTTTACAGGGGCAGAGAGAGCAGCACGTCTCTCACTGACATCACTGTGACAGGAGTTCAGTGAATCCCAGGGCTGATCACTGTCCCAGCCCACGAGCAACAGCACTCAGCCCTTGCTTATACAACTGTAGGCAAAGTCAAAGCCCAGAGTCCCAAAACTGCCCTCCACACTACTTTTGAGCGCTATGACCATTTTCAATCAAGATGACGTGATTGGTTACTTCTGTCCACCTGATTTCTAAAATAAAACAATTTGTTTGGTGGTGTTAAAGATAAAGAAAGTTGAAGACACTTTGGTGACTTCAAAACCTTAATAAATAAATGTGTTCAATCAGCAGCTAACTGTAACAGAAGCCAGGGTTGGATTGGCATTTCCAAACCCTACTCTGCACAGATCCTGTAAATCCCACATAAACACCAGCTTTTCCATTGACATTCCAGTTTGAAATGACTGAGAGCTATCCGGTCCGGTACTGCCATGTTCCATCAGCTGAGTAAAAGATAAACACACCTACAGTAGAAGTGGAACAGCCTTACTGGGTAGAGGAATAAACACACTGCTACCCAAAAGGCATTCAGTTTCAATTCCACTGAAGTCAGTTTTTGTTCCTTTTTCCTCACCGGATTGATATGACTCACTGCCTTTCATACAGTTTGGAAGTGAAAGTATACAGGCCTGTTGTGAGGACACAACAATCAGACTTTCTCTTTGAGATGGAAGAGTGAATGTTTCCAACAAGCTCAACTCTGACACCAGAACAAAGAAAAATACACATAACGCAATCTATCACACTATTCATTCCTGACAGCATGTGGTTTAATGTATTTTAAGACACTGAACCAAGCCAGGTGTATCCTGGGAAGGGACTCAGTCAAGACAGTCCAGGAAAGCTTCACCAGTCTGTATCGTAATCTAACCAGCCTGCACTGAGAAGACAGATTGTTCTCCTGTCTTTGTCTGCCTTGTGTCCATACTGGAACTTCCCATTAGGAATTCAAAACAACTAGAGATTTTGTTCCCATTTCTGGGATAACTAACCCAACAATATTGTTTTCCAGAATAATGTCAACTTAAATTAGCATCTAAACGTTCTAAAACAGGAACAAAGGAGACTTACTGGAGTGCTTCATAAGTCTATTTATCTAAGGTGAGCAAACTGTTTAAACACACCTCAGTGAAGTATTCTCCCAGAAGGTCCCCCGTACCTCATCGGGCCATTCACTGCCAACAGAGTTCTCTGGAACAGGAGCAACTTACAAGAGCCTCCAGCTCGAACTCCAGCGTCTTCTTCCTGGCTTTCAGGACCACGATGTTCTCCTGCTCCTTGTTCCTCTGATTGAGCAGCTCCTGGCGCCGATTCCTCTCCCACTCGAGCTGGCGCTGCCTCTCCAGCTCCCGTTTCGCCGCCTGCAGGGAGTGGACATGGAGCAGCTGGACTCGGGATCGAGCTCCTGCTAGCAGGGTTGTTTCTCAAAGACTGCCAGCTGCTGGTAAAGCGCCTGCAACTGGTGCTACACTCTCAATTGCAGCAATAAGCCTTAAAGCTCATAGAAAACAGTCACAGCCTACAATAAACCACACGGCAGAAACTGTGGGGGGCACAGGGCAGAACAGGGCAGGGAGTCCACCACCTTCAATGCCGGAATTAGCAAACACACTTAAGAGATGTGAATAATAATTAAACAGCCCTCAAAATTTTGCTCATTTTAACAGGCAGATCTTTTCAGCTCTTAACTAAAGCTGAAAGTCCCAATGCCACCTAGCTTTCCATTCCTGGTAATCCTGGAAGTTTAACGGACAAGGAACATTTCTCCTTTTTCTCTGGATCTTTACAGCCCTACTTCTCACACTATAAAGCTCTTAATTAAAGGGAATTGCTGAGACTTTTCAATGTTGTTTTTAAATAACCAGACTTCCTGCTGCTGGAATATTACCAAAACGGAAGAATTTCACTTGTTTAAGCTTGTTTCTAGCACAACGTTGGCTGCAGCAAGCAAAGACAAAGCTACTGTTCAGTATTAAGAGTTTGGCGAAAAAAAGTGAGTATTTGTTGAAGAGGTTTATTACTGAAGGACATGGAAAGAAAGCCACCAGAACGTGAAGATCAGGATAACCGTCTCCTACGACACGCAACAATATTGGCCCCGCTTCTAAACGCTTGGCCAGGTGCTCTCGTACCCGACTGAGACACAGCCATCGATGCGGCCAGCCAGTACTGACATCAGCCAGGTGACCGCCCGCCCGCCGCAGCTTGATTGGCGCGGCTTGGTTACATTGATACCCCCTCCGGCCTGAATCCTAGAGGAACCGCTGCTGGCGGTTCGCTACAGTGGGTCCTTGTGCTACAGCCATCGATGTGGCCAGCTCAATCCCTCTCCAGCCAGGTGGCCTCCCATCTGCCACCTGCCGCAGCCCGGCTGGCGCAGCTTGGTTACACCGATACCCCTCGAGAATCCGGTGTGCTACAGCAAGGCCCCACCCACCTCTCTCCTCTCGATCTCCTTGCGGCGCTCCTCCTCCCGCTGCCGCTCCAGCTCCCGCTGCTTCTCCAGCTGCTTCTCCAGCTCCTGCTGCCGCCGGCGCTCCTGCTCCAGCCGCTCGCGCTCGCGCCGCTCCTGCTCCTGCCGCTCCAGGGCCGCCAGCCGCTCCTGCTCCTTGCGCTGCTGCTCCAGCAGGGCCTGGCGCCGCTTCTCCAGCTCCAGGTTCCCCCGCTCGAAGTTCTCCCGCTTCTTGTCCTCGAACGTCACTGGGGGAGGAGGGACAAATCCTCAGGATCCTCTAAATCCACCAGGGAAAGGCTGCTCGGGACACTTTCCAGAGGGACGGCTGTGCTCAAGCCAACAGAGGTCTGCGGCTGGCTGGCTTGTGGCCTAGTGGCTGTCGGGGGCCTCCGCCGTATTCCCCACAGCTTGGCCCCCCATTACCGGAACGGGGGTGGGAATACTCCCACCTTTTCCAAAGCAGCCTGTAGCGATAGACGCGGCTGCGTCTAGGAAAAGCCTCCGGCAGGCGGCAACTCAATCAACGCGGATATACTAACTCGTTCAGGAGTTACTAACTCGTCGCCCCGGACAAGGGCGCCTGCTGAGCAGGTATTAACAACTGCTGCCCTCTATACCCCGCACGCACTGGCAAACGCTCTTCTCCGCCTCCACCATTCACGCTGGGGTCTTTACCGAGCTGTACGATCATGCCGAGGACACTGCTGATGATTTCCAAACGGAAGAATAAATGGCCATTCCAGAGCAAAGCTTAAACTGGAACGCGGATCCCCGACTCTACCTACCTGGCAGCCTTTTCTCCGGGGCCTGCTGCTCCTCCTCTGCAGGCTCCTCCTGGACCCTCTGGTCAGCTAAATGTAGGCTTGCGGTGGAGATGCCACTCCCCGAGCGCACTCTTCTGGAAAGGAAGCAGCCCCCCAAGCCAACAGGTCAGAGCCCACCTGTCCTCTGATACCCACAAGAAAATCAAGATGTATTGCAGTAGGATGCAAAGGCCAGAACAGTTCTTTAACGTTTTTTACCATCACAATTTCATTTTGTACTTCTTTAAGAAGGGATCCAATGACAAAAAGTGGGCTTTACTCACCCCTTCACTCAAAGGATCCTAGTAAACCTTTATTCTGAGCTGGAAGACCTACAGACTACAGCTACCTCCGTGTCAAGGAGAGGGTGATCCAATATCATAGCCACCGTCTGGATATCCTGTCAGACTCCCCCCGACATACTTATATTCACCGAAGTGGAGGGGTACCCTGTGCATCACCAATGCTACAGCAGCTTCCAGAGCAAGCTGGTGTACTCTGCAGGTTGTACTTATGTGAACTCGCAGTGGTGATGGTTTGGTATTTGTTTTACCCTTAATGCTCAGCAACGTCAACTACTGTAACAGCATTGAACATGCTCCGCATTTTCCTTCATTTCTGCACAGCTGTCAAAAAAATAAACTGTAGGTTTGGGAACCAACAGAGAGATGCAGGCCCAATGTGCCGCTGTTCTGAGAGAGTCCCGGTTCCTAAAAATGGACACAAAAACTGCAGGCTGCATTTGTACATTTGAATCTGGCTTCCGGCACCTTCCAGCACAACCTTCCGTCCACCTCCTCTGTTCTGTGTTTCCGTCTGTAACTACTGTTACGAAGTACGTCCCCTCCAGTGGACACGGATAAAAGAATACTGAATGGACCACAAAAAGGCCTGAACTCCAAGGGCACGGTTTGTTTTCTTAGGAAGAACAAGCAGTCCTGTGTTCTGGCTGCAGTTGACTGTAACAATCTTTAGGTATTTGTTTGCCATCTGGAGGAACACAGGAGCTTTTGTGAGCTCCCTGTACTTCTTACTTTAAATGATGAAGAATCTAAGCAGGTCTAAGCAAATTGTACCTTAACTCCTGTTTCTTTTTCTATATCAATCCTGTGTTGATTTCAGAGCAGCTTTAGATAAAAATTCATTTGAGAGTCACTTCAGCCCCAAGGCACACAGTACTTCCTATCGCAATCTGAACTGCAAAACTGGCTTTGTCTGAACCTCCTCTGGAAAAAGTCTGCAATGTTGTGTAACCTACTTAGTATTGGGAAATCAACACCAAAATTGCAAAGAGCATGTCTGCTGTAGTGCACCAGGCTCACAACATTATACATTTTGACCAAGTGAATGAAGAAAAACCGAAGCCAAGTCACAAACACTGCACACAGCCTGTCCATCTGTCCCTGCCAAACCACCTGAGCAGATATCCTTATTCTTCACTGATGAGGGCATCAATAATCCTCTTTCCTCCTCTTCTATTATCATTACCCATGTATTTTCTAGTCTATCCTGTTCAACCTGAATCATATTAACACATGGCAGGCGCCTTATAAAATTGTATATTTTTTCAGTTTCTCTGCTAACTCTGCAACATGACGATAGGGAACACAGATGGCCTAGTGACAGGCTGAAAAAACAGACAAAATGCAGCACAAAAGACTCTATTCAAGATCTATGTAATACCCGCTGTTCACTTTTCTGGATTTAAAGAAGGCAGTGGGATTGTAAGCTGCTCTTTTCTTTTCTGCCTGAAACAGGCACAGTGCAGGCTGTGCCCCTTGATTGCCGCTGCTAGGTTATCAGTGTCTGGACTGCTCGGAGAGGAACCATCACAGGGATTGTTGGCAGGACATAGAGGGCAATTCCTGTGGTTTTCCGGGCGCCTGCTGGGCCGGTTGAGCTCTTCTCCTTCAGTGGCGGAGCACAATGTGACAGTAAGGAAGCCTGGCTGGGTCATACCCTGTACAGTCATCTTTCCCTCACCTGGTAGCTTGTGACAGAGCACTGTGAGCCTTTAGCTATTCCAAATAAAAAATCAGATCTTCTTCTCCAGCTCATGTAAATTTAAGGGTGCAAAATAGCAGAGTTAGGATGTCTACTGAAAACAGTTTGAGTTCGAGGGTTTTGGGAGTTAATACCAAGACCCTTAATGGACTGGGTGACTATCACAACAAGAACTACACATAAGCTGCAGCTGGGGCTTCGCTGACGCTTGGACGTTCCATTTACTCCAGAAGACAGTTTTGCTTTCTCACAAGCCTCTCCTCGCTGTATGAAATAATCCCCAGGGAACATCATTCATGGACAGAGGTCGATGGCACCGTGGCCGCGGAGAAAGGGAGTCACCGGAAAAGTGTTTTTTGCCGACTCCCCTCCAGTTTGGCTATAAATGAACAGCTGGAAAAGGGTGTTGAAATTCAACAGCAGCAGACGAAGTACTGTAACAGACTCTTTTCTTAAGCCCATTCCCATGTCAATGAGCAAAGAGGAGGCTGCTGCAGGGTCATATACAGAAGGAGAGTTGTACAAACTTCAGACTGGCAGGGTGTCTACACACTGCCCAAGTCACATCAGCTTCTGATCAGCACGTTGTTCCCGGTACTAACAAGCAGGGCCGCACATTGTCTTCTAAACATCTCACCTGCCTTAAAAGCTGTAAATTACTCTCCCACGTTAAGACAAACATAAAAGCAATGACATGCAGTGTTCAGCATGGCTGAGACTGCTCAGCCCTAATGGGGCGGTGCAGTGGCTCTGTGGCTAAGGATCTGGCTCCGACCAAGCGTTTTTAAGAAAAGCTGATACGCAACCTTCCCAAACATTAAAGGATTTTTGCTATAACTACAGCTGCTACAATCAAAATTGTAATCTTGAAGGCCAAGCAACACCTTTTAGGAGAGGGAGGTCGCGTTTCAGGGTTGACAAGAGGTCATTATTTGCCTTTTCTTCAAACATCCATGACAGATGTGTACATGAAAAATGCATGTGCCACCTTAAGTGCTCGACTGTGACTGTGGTCACACAAGACCTTTGAAGGCTGGAGTCGGACAGCTGAACTGCACAGCCCTGCAGATAAGTGAGGCGGGCCCCTATCAGGGTCTTACAGCACCACGGTACCTGAAGGCCGGGGGGATGAAGTCTGGGGGCAGCACTGGGGGCAGCGGCTGGCCCGACATGGCCATGTCTATCAGGTGCATGGCCAGGATGAACTCCTCCGCCGTCAGTTTGCCATCCTGATCGATGTCCGACAGGTTCCTGCAGACACAAAGAGAAAGGGAAGGGCGCGCGCCCACACCCCGGGGTCATTCAAGAAACAGCGAGATCAGATCCTCAGGTCCGATAATGACTCACTGCCGAACAAGCTAGATGGCCTGATAAGATTCAGGACTAGGCTCTCACCACACACTCTAGACACATGGCATCACCAAATGCACACTTCTGAGTGTCCCCATAGCGTTGCCATTTTAAACACTGGCGTTTGAAATGCCAAGAGTTACTGATCTGTGTTCCAGCAACACCTAGAGGTCCACAAGCTCCCCGAGTCAAAGAGGAGCTTTTCACATTTAGCAGTTTTTTGAAAACCGAAAACATAATTCTTACATTATTCACAAACAGTTCAGACATACAGTAGCTGTTTTACTGTCTCATTGCCTTAGAAAACTGCCAGAAACAAATGTAAATCACTAGGGAGTCACAGCCATTTAATATTCTGAAATGCTTTCATTTTTAAGTGGGAGGCCTGATGAGGGAGTAGCTGGAAAGGCTGTGCACATCGGAAATGTGAAAACGAAGGAATATCTCACCATATAGATGCTAATTGAGCTTGTGGTAAACTTGACTGCATCAGGATGGTTCTTGCCTGAGGGCCTTGGGGAAGAAAAAAAAAGTGTTTGAGACTAAACTCCTCGGAAAACACAGCCAGCTCAAAGACACCACATCTCATGTCTGGACAGGCTTTATTTCCCCTTTCCAAAGCAAAACCTCATCACAAAAAATACCAAACTACTTACCATAAAGCAAACTAAAAATTACATCTGAAACAAAAAAGATTTTAACAAGCCTGGTTTCTGTCCTATTTTTTTCCTCAATTGTAACATTTCTTTACACTGTTAAACCTTTCCTTGCTGCAGAGAAAAGTACTGCAGACATTTGAATATCACAAAATCTCTCTCAAAAATAAGCAAATTCCTCTTCTCGTTCTTAGGAAGTTTCATCTTCGTCGGTCGTTGAAGTGTTGGTTCCTGATCTGTGTCAGGCTCAAGAGACCGGGTGAGGCTCCCGACTGTACGGGTCACTCCAATCCGCCCGCAATCGGAGTCAGGGATGTGATCCCGATTATCGAAATAGGCACAGCTGGCAAGTGCTGGAGCACACACCTGTTAAATGTCCGCTCATCATTTTGTCATGGCTGTTGAAAAGCTGCCTGTACTTCAGCCGGGAAGACTGGGGGACGGCCCAGTCCTGGGGCACGGAGGCAGCTGGCGCACTGCAACGAGAGGAGAGAGAAGACCGCCGCTCACGATGACATCACCACAGAGCACACGCCCCCTTTCTGCACAGTCTCAAGAGGAGAGGGGAGCACCCTTCACCCGGACCCTTCAGGACAAAGTCGATAACAAAACTAACACACTTCCTGCCTTTATCCAGCAGGCACCAGGGGAAGAAGCCATGCTTGACCCACTGCTGTGGACAAGTTACTTACAGGGCCTCACTTCCACAGTTCATCCGCAGGACAGAGCGCAAACATCTACTGTTGCCCAGGCCACCCTGGACCAGTCATCAACAAGTAATCAAAGCTGTACGACAAATGACCTCTTCTCTTTTGTAATTTGGCCCAATTTCTTACATTCCTGAGCACTGTAAGTGAAAACAAGCTCTGTATAACAGTCTGTGGGAAGAGTGTTCAAGAGCTGGTCGAGAGACGGGAAATACAAACACTTCAACAAATGAAAAAAAGCTTGAATGAAAAGGTCAGAAAAATGAAATGAACACTGAGGTGTAAACAGTCGCCCTACTTCTTATTTCTGAAAAAACACAACTTTAAAACAGTGTGCATTTTCTTATACTCGCAGACGGGCGTTACGGAACAGTGCTGTGCACCAACCCCCAGTTCTTGATTCTCTTCTGTTTGTCCTAGGAACATCTGGATACTGCATTTAAACATCATGCTCGGGAGAGCAGAATTAAGTCTGAACTGCTTTCGTTAACAGAAAACAAAATGACTGCAAATGAAAACTGAACACTTACAGCAAGAAGTCTCCGCTGAGACCGGGATTCCAGACAAAGTTCTCCATGGCGCTGCTCAGTCAGCAAACTTACTGAGAAACGCCCGGCCACTTTATCACTAAAATGAGAAGCTGCTGAGCCAGCCTCCTGCAGGCTTAATCTTACCGTCACAGAAGGATCTCGGTGGCAGCAGTGCAGCTTGGGAGGAAGTGAACTGCTGTAATAACAGTACGGGGACAGCACACTGAACGTGATGCGGCCGGAAATGAGAGCCGGCGCTGCAGGGAGACGCAGGCAGAGTGACACGAGCAGCGTGCGGAGGTTTAATTGGTCTTCCTGGGGCACCGCAAAACCACAAGGCTCGGTTTCCCTTTCTGTGACCAGCTGCCCAAGGGCCCCCAGTAATCTCTCCTCATGTACACATACCGGAGAAGACTCTATACCTGCCGCGGAAAACATTCCTTCACTTACTTTGGAACATCGAACGACTGCGCCTTTTGAAGTTTTGTGCTGGAGCGGCTGAAAGAGGAGCCTTTGCTGAGGGTTGCAGCTGCCGCAGAGAAAAAGAGAGTGAAGAATAAAAACAGGATGAATAAATGAAAACTCCGACCTGGATTTCTCCTCACAGCGAAGCACACACCGCTCTCTCTGAAACAAAAAAGAGCATTTAGGCAACGATGAGGAAGAACAGCTCCTCTCTGTCTACCTTTTCTGCTCGCACTCAGGCTAAGGTCCTCATCCTTACCTTGGTTCTGGTCACCATGGTAGAAAAAAAGATTCTGTTGCTCTGGAATCAGCTACCAGTGCCCACACACATTCCTGAGCTTAAAGTAGTGTCCTACGCTGACGGACTGAAATAAATGAATCTTATAACAAGTTTCGAAATCCTGAAAAACGATGAGAAAGCCAACCCAGAGGAGTCCCTCTCAGAACAAACACGGAAGCTAGGACCCAGGCTCACGAGTGGAAGAGGAAGGGAATTCAATCAGGAATTGATTCTTTATACAACGTGTGGTGAACAAACTGCCCTGCCATGTTAGTGAACCCCATTCCATAGACTCAATCAAGAAACAGCTGGGCCAGATCTTCAGATCAATGAGCTATCTGGCCCCAACTGAGCAAGACTGGCAGAAAATTCCACCTATTGTTCACATTTAACATGATAAATGTGATAACATGTTCTTACCATGGAATCTCAATGGATTGGTGGAGACCTACTTAATCAGCAATGTTATGATAATCCCCCAATACTGGGCTTCTAATGCAATTCCTAGCCCCGTTCCAGGACTGTGCTGCAAGCAGAGCCTCTGCAAGCTAGAGATTCTCAGGCCTTGGTGTTTAATCTATCAGGTACTGTATCCACAGCTCAGTCTGGTCTTTCCCAGCTTTCCTGGCTTTCCTCCATAATCAGAAGAGTAACAGGTTTAACCCCTGAATGTCCTGGCTGCTGGTTTATACAGGAATGTATCTCTGCCAAATCCCTACTCATCTCTGACTGATCCAGTACAGTTTTGTGTAATATCTAGTTAGAAGGTTGACTTCTTGGGGAAAAACACTACAGGAAAAAAAACAAACTTTGGTCAAGTAAAGGAAAGAGCACTTCCTCTTTCCTGCAGTGCCACAGTTAGACCACGTGTTCAGTGGTTAAGATTGCTGACAGGAAGCAGACTGACCTGCTATCAAGGGACACACCAGCGGACTGATTAATCACAGCACCGAGAGCCCTGACATGGGGCTTTTTCTGGACTTGTCAAGGAATTCTCAAGTGCAAAAACACGGATGAGAAAACTGAATAAAACAGTTGCAACAAGGCAGTATGGTCTCAAGAAATCCGACATGAGAGAGCTTCTTCTGCTAAAAGACATCACCCAAATTGACGTTTTATTTTGTATGACTGGATAGTCACAGTTAAACACTTTCCAAGTTCTTACAATGTGACTGCTTCAATTTTGTTTAAAAATGATAGAAATCAATTTAGTAAAAGAAAGAAAAGATTTAAAAGGTATAATTCCTTTAATCTGCCTGCAACTGAACACCAATTTTTTTGTAACGCTCTACTAACAATAATTAATAAGATATAATTCCTTTAATTATACATTAAAGGAATTTCATCACGGCCCTAATTAATGCACTGCTTGTAAGTGCAAGATTGCTCTCACACTCCACCGTGAAGCTGACAGGGAAGGGCAAACAGAGCAGGACAGGACAGCAGGAGTGCAGCCTGTGCTCTTGTCTGCCTTACTCAGTCAGCATAGTGCTGGCCATCACCCATGGGCAGTCAAAGGGGTAATCTGCACAGCAGCTGGAGGTCATGAGCGCTCAGAAAGCAGTGCTTAATTACAGCAACATGTCTTCCCGTGGAGAACTGATATTTCTGTCTTGGTGACTTACTTTACAGAGGAATCAGAACATGAGACGAGTTACAAATAAAAGGAGGCCATTCGGCCTGTCTGGGTGTCATTAGTTACTAGATCCGAGGATCTTGTCCAGCTATTTCCTGGAAGAAAGCAGGGTACTGGCCATTACTGCTCTAGGCCCCACAGCTCTAGTGTACACATATGGAGGGGGACTGTACCTGAATGGGCGAAGCCAGGCAGAGGCTGAATCATGGGCGGAGCTCCATTGGCCATTGGGGGTACAGGTGCAGGAACTGGTGTCACCACAGGGGGCGACATTCCTACCACTGGCAGGGGAGCCATTGGCACTGGAGCAACTCCCGGTATCCCCGGCATGCCAGCCATGCCGCCCATTCCTTCAAGACAGAACGGTTTAGACCCCAGTTATTGTTTCAGACGTAAAGAAGGCACAATTCACAAAGCCATCTGCTCCAGTGTAAAATCTGCTCCACATTTTCAAAGGAACAATCCAATAAAGCTAATCTTCAAAAATTGGGAAAGGGTGTGCCTAAACGTAGTTTTTTTACCAATGCACGTTTAAATATTTTGGTTACCCTAAAACGGGCAAAACAGCAGCAGGGTTTGCTTTATCGAAAGCTTTGACATTCACCCTACTAATTCACAGAAGTTGGACTCCACTAACTTTAGCCATTCTTGTCTGGTTTGGAAAGGAGACAAGCCTATTACTCCCTGTGATTCAGAAAGACAGCATCAGGAAATCATGAATGAGATGAGAGTCATGAAACAGAGGGTGAGAACTGGATTTGAAGAGCTGCCAGTCACAGCCATAAGGTCTTCACCCAACCAGCACACCTGGTCTGGCCTCACTGAGAAAGAAAACTAGTATTTGACTCTCAGTACAGAAGGAACAAGACGATAACCAACCTTGACCTTTCAGGGTCACCTGCCCCTGGTGCAACAGAGAGACCCCTTAAGCACACTTTTCTCATTTTACTACAGAACTTTTGTTACACATATGATTGTCAGAAAAGGAAATAATGGGATGATACTGCAGAACTTCTATCTATGCAGTCAAAAGCATGAAACAAAAGACTAGAGACACCATGTAAGTCACTCAGACACAGGCCAAATGTCAATGCTGCCTGTGGATCAACCAAACAAGGCTTTGGTGAAAGTCTTGTGAAAGTGTCCTGCAGAGTGAGTTTTGAGAAGAAAGTCATCGCCTCTCATATTCTGAGAACCTGCACGCCTGCGCTTAGCCAACGCCTGTCTTTATCCTGCTCAGAAAACCACAAAAGAAATTGCTCAGGGGACTGATTTTAGAGTTACTGAAAGATATTCAAACAGTTCATTTTGACAGCATAACATCAGGAGGTTGTCTCTCCACTGTTCCGCTAACAGCATCTTTATGACTATTGGTGAGGCTGTCAAGTCAGTAAATTTAAAAGAGATGGTACAGTGAAATCAATACAGTTTAATAAAATTATTATTTCACCTAGTATCAGTCAACAGCACTTCTAGAGATGAGGGGTCAATACTTCGGCCTGTGACTGTAGAGACAGGGTGCAAAGAAAGTGTCACATGCTGTTAAATGCTTTATGTTCTGCAGCCTGGCATCTTGTTCTTTGACAAGCAATGAAAATTTCTACAGCGGACATGAAAGCAGGATGATGTGTTGTGCTTGCTAGCGAACACTATTCCGGAAATGCGCCATTCCACTCTTCCCAGACTGCTCAGGCCCAGGAGCCTGCACTCACCGAAGGCCGGGGCCGTGGGGGCCGTGCAGGGGGGCTGCTTCATGACGGGGGGCAGCGAGGGGGGGAGCGGGTGGCCCTGCAGCTTCAGCTTGATGAGCTTCATGGCGATGGAGAACTCATGCAAGTCCATCTTGCCGTCGTTGTTCAAGTCGGCCAGCGCCCTGGGGAACGCAAGGGCGTGAGAGAGGGGCCGCGGAAAACGGCGCTCCGCATCTCGCCGCAGCCAGGCCCGGCGGAGCAAACGATAGCGCCTTTCCGCGTTCGCTTACCGGCGTGGTGCGAGGTGCGAGCCGCAAGCCTAGGAGTGCCCCCCGGCGGAGCGCGACCCATGATGAAGATTTTTAAATGAGTATTTAATCTGTCAAATTTTCTTTTAAAACTGCCTCCCCCTTGCCTTGTGGCAGTACAGCCCCTGTATACTGCACAACGTAAACGTCGCTCTTGCACACAAGTTACTGCCCCTTACCTGGACTGCAGTCAAAGTCAACGAAATGTTTCTGAAAACCACAGTCGAACTTAAAAACTTTAAATTTCCACACTTAGATATCATTAGAGTTCACTCACAGGTAAACATCTACAAAGACTGGGTCATGAGGAAAATGGGGACGCATGATCTTCTGGAAGAAAACAAGTTTTTTTTTTTATACATGCAGGCCTTATACGTAATGAAGGAAATACAAAATCAAAAACTAAATTTTTAGTGTATAACAACAAATAGTCCATTAACAAAATTAATAAACAGTACAGGAACAAAAGCTTTCCAGTGAAACCCTCTGCCCAGTGTCTGGCTCCATTAGGATTAAGCTTGTAATAGCATTAGATGTCATGACCCAGATAGTGGATGGCACATTTATTGCAAGGCTTCAGAATTAATCTGACTAACAGACAATCCAGGAATGCGGATTACTGTACCTAATGGCCATGATGGAAGGGACCAAGGTCTTACCATATCTGTGCAAGAATGGGAGGGGGCAGTCCAGACTGAAGAAAGAAATTCCTAGCCTGATCACCTGTTAACAAAAAAGAAAGGATTCTTAACACTTCAAAAAAGCAACTGTCACTTAAGTACTAAAAAAGGGCAACAGTTAATTGTGTGTTTCAGCTTCCGGAATATTACTCAAAGATGAGGCAGATATTGAATTCTTAACGACATTTGATTATCAAAACACACACAGCATCACTACAGTCGTGGACCGAACTGATGACTCTCTCAAGGGCTCAGGCCACGCTAAGTTCCCCCCAGTCTGGAAATCAAAGAATTCTTTCAAGTGACTCATTTCAAATTAAGAGTCTACAAGGTTTACTAATTCAAGTTTAATTTTAGACAACGTCTGGTTTCCCAGCAAGAAGAATACCATCAGACGCTGAAATGGAACAGAAAACACTCACTAAAGACCCTTAATATCCCACTAACTACAACATGAATCTATACACGTCAGATCCCATCTGTAATTTACAGCAACAGCCAGAAGTACTGGCACCATGCAGCTTAAACCTGATGGAAAATACTCACTTCTATCTGCTAGAATGAAGATGTGTTGGACAACCTTAGAGGAGTCAACAAGTAGTTTTAACAAACAAGACGGCTGTGTTACAACCATCAAACTAGCAAATAGCCAAGCTTCAGATACAGTGTAGAAATACCAACGTAATCAACCCTGTGCATATCCCAAGTTTGAAAGCACAGCAGGTTGTACAGAGTTTATGAAGAAGACTGCATCAGTCAGTATAGGATTTAACCTTGCAGATGTTTTTCATAAGCCCACACCATGTGGAATGCCTGTTAGTGACAGACAGGCTATCTAACTTCCAACCAATAGCCCGATGTGTTGCTGAATGAAAGCCAGGGATATTGAGCTTATTTCCTACAATATTCTGCTGTGGCAGATACAGCTAGTACCCGAGTTTGTTACATGGATGTTCAGCTGATGCAATATCACCCAAAAAGACATCACTCCCCTCTAGTGGCCTGAAGAGGTATCTGCTGAGGGTGTGGTTAACACTTCACACACCCTGTCCCCAAGCCAAGCAGAGCAGGGACTGTTCCATAGTTCTGCTAGCCTATCAGTAAGCACTCCTTCAACCTTGGAACAGTTTTGCAATTGCAAAATCACCTCCCCTCCCAATACGTTCAAGTCAGCTCTTCTACAACCGATTCATTTTTAGTCCAGCAATGCCAGTCTTCAATGTTTCTCACTTGAGGATAATGGTTTCTCACTGACAAACCCATGCGTTGTGCCCATGTGTGCTAGTACTAACTGTGGCAGCACTCGGGTGATGATCTATTCCACAGGCAGTCGTACAAGAATAGAACTGTTTTTTGGACAGGGCAAGAAAAAGCATTTGAGATATGTATTTGAGAAGAGCAGAACTAACTGAACACCATTCAGAAAAATAGAACACCGTTAGATAGAACTATAAAAGCTTTCCATGTCAAATTCTATGCTTTGTAAACACTTAAAAGTACTGCAAAACAATTCCAGCTTAGTTCTGTTTTAGCCACCTCTGTCACCAAGTAGCTTAGTTAATGTGTCAACTTCATGACTTCTGTCCTACAACTACCACAGTCTTCATCATGTTGAACAGGGAGAACAGGCACACAGCAGACGGGCTTCAAACCGTGCTTTAAACTGCGCTCTGCTGACAGCTGGACAGTGAGCCACTCGAAACGCAATCTTCAGCCTTCGACAATGCGAAGGCAAAGCCACTCTTTCCAGATCAATGTTGGATAGCAAATCTTTCACACATGGACTGAAAAGCCATTAAAAAGGCACCTTTTAACTGTCCTTTAAGTGTAATTCTCAGCTGAATATATTAAGCAACATTGATGTCAGTGTGTGAAATGGCGTCTCTGGACAGGGCTTGATTCTCACACTGCAGGAGAGACGTTTATCCATTGCGGCCTGGCTGTATTTAGGCTCCTCCACCGGTAAAACAAGCGCTCAGGGAGCAGCAGCAGGTCGAGCGCCATTCTCCAGCCTGGACTGCATTCGCAGAATTCCTCTAGGTTCCCATCAGGGAGCTGCCAGGGTGCTGGAGTAACAGTATCAAAGCCCTGCACGCTGCCTCTTGTAAGCAATTTGGAGCTCTCACTGTGCAACGTGCTGAACGGTCAGTCAGTCCTGGTGTTGGAAAACATGTGCCCAGTCTACGGCGTCCCCAGCCAGTCCCGGTGCTGGTTCTGTGACCAGTCAATCAGGTAAATCAAGAATTTCAGAGCTAGAGAGTATTAAAGCTGGTGGCAGTTCAAAAAGGAATAAAGAAATGGACTTGCTTTTCAATTGCTGCCAATAGCACAACAGTACAAAAGTCTTTTTTAGAAGAAAAAAAGATCCATTGTTGACTCAGTGTTGATATTTTTATCTGCTTCTCGTCATTACAAAAGCCCTTTTATCTCTTAGTGAACTGCAAAAGGTCAAGTAAGGGAAGTTAAGATGTGCAGGAGAAGACTAAATTCGGCACGAATGAGATATAGAACACCTTCTGGCGATGACCCCACGTCCAACATAAAAATATCCTCTGGCCGCAGGCCTGAACGCTGCTCTCGTGTTCCCTTGCCTGCAGTGCCGAGAACATCTAGACAAAGAACAGCTGGGGGAGCTGTAGTAACAACGTTTTTATGAAACATATTTATTAGAAGAACAACGATACTCCAAGTTATCACCCAGAAATTATGCATGGTTTGATTTTGTGTCCATTTCCCTGTTAATCTAAGAAACGGGATGTGTAAGCTATTGCCAACACAGTTACTTAGCGAAAGTCCAGAGCGTGACGGGGAGGGAGAGACACGCAGAGAGCCGGCTGTCCTGAGAAGGTGAACGCTAAACCGCCTGCCTTTCCTTACCGGTGATGAACCCTGCAGTGGGTTTTAAGCTGTGGAACTGCTGGTCGTGTTTGGCCCGCTCCTCCACGGTGATGGCCCAGAAATCCAGGCCCCCTGCGAGGGAAAAAAAACCCGGAAAGGCTTATCGTCGGCAAATGGAGGCCACTCTTCCGTGTGGCCCGAAACGACGCCGCTCTCAGGAACGAGCTGCCAGGGTTTGAGAAATACAGCGGTATGCTTCTACATGTGAAGCTACAGACGTTTATGTGAACATTTCAAGTTATTTTTTCCCGTCTGTACTTAAACTCCCGACAACCTTCTTTTTTTGCTAAAAGGAAGCCTCTCTCCAGCTTTCGGAATCTATTCTTTCACAGGCCACTCCTTCAGCGCTAGGGTGTGGTACGAGCCGCCTTTAATCTACTGATCTTGTGTAAGAAGTGGTATCACAGCGAAAAGTACTTGTTATTGCAGGAAAACTGAAATGCCAAATGTATCCAACTTTTAACTTTATAAGTAAACTGTATATACAGTGCCTCACAGTATTTCCCCCAATCTAATACAATCCCATGCTATTTAATTAAAAATGATATTAAATTATAAATGCCAGAGCAGTGAGTGAAACTGCACCAAGCTGGTGTGCAAAGCTGGCAGACACTTATCCAGAGAGACTATGTGTAGGACTCTACCAACTTTGCACAACAGCCACTGTTGAACTGGGAATTGTTGAACTGGGAATTCAAGAGAATGGGATATAACTGGAAGGCAGAGAACAGTTTTTCAAGGCAGTGCAGCTGGTGGGCAAACTGAATGAGGACCATGAGAACTGGCCACTGTGTGAGCACATCCCTGCTCACAAAGACATACTGAGTGTACTACAGTACATCACTAGGCCTATCAGGGAATGGTCAATTCTGGTTCTTATTGGGGCCTAGACTTGAAATAAAATCAAGGAGCCATTTCATTGCCCTAGGGGTGTGGAGGTAATGCTTCTGTAAAGGCTCTATGAAATTCTATAGATACAGTATCTCATGTCCAGTGTCTTTACTATCATTAAAAAATAAAAAACCTAGGCCTAATTTATAAATAATGTGTAAATGTTTAGATTAAATAAATACTTCAGATGAAAACAAAAACAAAACAATGTGGCCTTCTAGGAGATGCAGGACTGCAGTAAGCAATGAGCTACAAGAGAGCAGGGCAGCTTTCAAAGACCTGACGATGTGTTCTGTCAAATCCTGTACGTTTTAGATTTGCTGTTTATCTTTCATATACTGAACACAATGGTCCTTATTTAAGTTAGATGGCAAACAATTTATCCAGCAAATACCTTTCATTTACTCCAAGATGCTTCAAAGTTGCTACATAAACTTTTATATATAAAGTGTGTTATAACTTGTATCTCCTTTTATTACCAACAGACAAATATGCAAGAGTACATCAATTAGAACTTTTTAAGAAGGTTTTAGAAGTACAATGCAGGTTTACCGTCAATTTGAACACGGTCTCATTTTAGAGTGAGGGCCTTAAAAAAATAGATAAGACACAATCTGTGATTTTGCAGGTTAATTTTAACAGGTCCAGAAGTGTGGGCCTTTTGAGAAACCACTACACTAAAAGTGTAAAGGAGGCTCAGAAAGTAAAGATTCACTTGCGGTGGAGCTAACCAGCTTCTGTTTAGTGGCAAACAGGACTTTGTTTTTACCCCTGAGAGCAGTTTGTACTGCCCGCCGCGGACAGATTGCAAGCCTGCTATCAATCCGTTGATCAGGGTGTCCTCGCACGGACAGGAATAATAATCTAATGAAATAATGAGCCCAATCCGGCCAAATTCTTTCTCCTGACTTTCTCGTCGGCAAGCTGAAGACTCAAAGAGGGAATTTAGTATAACAGTATAGGCCAGACTCCGGGAGGGCAGGGTGAGTCAAGGTAAGGAAATACAGAAGCTGAAAGCTCACAGTGTAAAGAGAAGAGGATACATTACTAGCCAGCAAAGCTAAACACCTGCCTTGAGGGGCCAGGTTACCACTTCAGTTACAACTTTCACTTTGCTGTGCACCTGCAGGCCCAGAGAGGAGAGGGTGGCAGTACAGTCCTACTTAGGAAAACAACACCCCCCCAAACATGCCCGTGGAACCCCTTTGTAAGAGAGCAAAACAGACTTCTTTTCAAGGGGAAAAAAAAGGCACCTTGGTTCACTAAAGAAGGATGGGTACTCACCTCCGAAAGGTGTTGGAAACTGAGCCATGATTGTGTCAACTTGAGCCGCCTGGCAGACGCCTGCAAAGGGAGATGAAACAGATTGACTCTCTTGGCCCACACCAGACGCACACATGCGCAACACCTGCTCTGGAAGCCAAAAGGAAAGTGCCATAACTTAGATGAATAGGTTATAAACTAGACACAGACAAAAAAATATATTCTGATACAAAAGTGTAGTTTGGGATGTGGTCACTAGCAACATCAGAATGAAGCGACATGGCCAGGGAGCTGAGAAACAGTCCTTCAATGGGCAGACAGAACAAAGATGTGAGGTAAATTACTTTTACTGCACTGTTTCCATCCCATTAACATCATGCTGTAAAGAAACAGTGGGAACTTGGGGCCTGAAAATACTTTTTAATTAAGGAAATTTATGTCAATTTTTACTCTGCCTGTGTGCATCTCTCTATTGCATATGGTTTCTAAGTAACGGAGTAAAGTCTGGAGCACACTCCAGGACTCCAGGTGGCTGTAAATGACTAATAAAGTTAATTTGTGGACACACTGGTATTGCAGATGTAAACCCTCCCTTTCCTACATCTATGAATGCAGGATTTCTCACCCCCACCTTTCAAAGAGTATCAAAAAGACATTTACAAATAGAAGTCTCACAAATCACATGGGCTGTTCCCCCACCAGTAATCAATCCCTGCTATTGTTCACAGAGATCTCAGAGAGAGAGAATAGTGACATGCTGTTACAGAACACCACAGGAAAACCTGCTTCAAAAGTTCTCATTGCTGACATTTTAATATTAAAGAATTAAAACCCCTCGCTTCTATGTCTTTTGGATAGAAGATTGAATCAATTCCATGTTTTGTCCACATCAGGCCACCCATAAGAGCCCTGTTAAGAACAGGAATGTTCCATTAATAATTGATTACGTTTGCTCAGGAGTCAATAGTAATGGGCAGTCAGCGATTCCCCCAGTCCAATCTCATTTTCAAACACACCCATGCAGTCACTGGTCTTCTCCTCAGGACACTGTTTTATACTTCCAGCGGCGTTTAAACTTTACTCAGCAATGAGCACCGCCCTCCCACCTACCGCTCCCTAGAGAAACCAGATGTTTTTTTATGGGTCAGCTGAGGTGTGTTCTGTCCGGGAGATCGGAACCCCAACACTGGAAACGTGCGGGCCAACACCAGCTCTCCTGCCACGCTGTGGGGGGCCGAGCAGAGCTGAGAGAAACTCCGGAGCCGGCACAGCCTGGCTGCTGTCAGCTGTGACCAGTTCCTCCTCCCAGCTCGGAGCAGCGCGACTCATGAAGGAGAAGAGAATTCTGCAGCGTCCGGAGGGCTGCAACACTGTCGCTCTGACAACCTCGGCTGTAAGCAGCTGGAGCCAGTGCCTGCTGCACTTTGGCCACCGTTCTGCCACGCACTTGCCGATCAAGTGATTTGCAGACAAACAGAACAACTCTAAGGAAAGATCCTGATTAAAGATAAATCACTTGATCTCAAAGCCACGCACCGAAGGCGACTGCTGACTGTGCTGTCACGTGCCAGTTCTCTCTCTCACAGGCCTGTGCCCCCACCTTACGCAGACAGTAACATGGTTTTGATCATGGTTGCTTCAACAGAGCACGACAGGCAGAAGTCCTGCCTCTCAACCTCTATGATCTTTAAGTCTATGTTAACTTTTATGTTCAAATACACTTCAGCGACCAACTTGTCCATAAGGAGGACATGTGAAAATAGCTCCTATTATAAAACCGAGTACTGAGGCCTTAGCATTTTGTTATATCTTCAAAGTGGCAGATCATTGATTCCGCTACCTTTCCTCACTCACGGGAAACCTATGTGAGCTTCTCCTAGGTATCACCCACCTCCTGCAGCCTGACATGCTTTTGTTCTGTAATGTATTCATGGTGTATTCTATAATGTGGAAGCTGTACATGGCAGGAAACTGGAGAATCACACTTCCCTAAGTGGGAAGCCTTCAGTCTCAGTCCTCGCCAGCTACTCAAGGCCTCTCCGGCCTGATGACGCAGTATTTCCAGACGATGGCCACGGAATGGCACTACATGTAGGAGAAGACAGCTGCACCCAGGTGAACCAAACAAACCCAGCTGATTGCATCTGTTTCTACTGGTGTCAAGTTTCTGAGATTCCTGGACAGGAAGCTTACACGGAATCGCTAGCACCGTTATTCGCAAGGTCATCAGCATGCTACTTTCAGGTGCAAGCGAACTCCAGGAAAAGAGAGCTAGTGGCACAGGGATCACAACAGCAGCCCAACGCAAACCTGCTCCATCCAATCCTCTTGCCCTGCCGAAAACACGGCTGCGACAGACACAGTGCATCATTTACGAGCTAGACAGAACCACATAAGGGAGTACTGTTACTTTTCTACACTGCTGGACTTGGAAAAAAGTGCAAACTACTGGAAACAGCAGGACAGTTCCCCCTGGCCTTATTTCTGAACTGGCTCTGTCATGATGTGTGATTTCACAATACAAAACGCTGACAACAGCACTGAATTCCAGCACAGAAGGACCCTAGTAAAAAGCTTCGCAAGATTTACAGGCTTATGGAGAACACTGCTGTGTTCACGTCCACATGAAACCCATTCGAGCTGCCTGAGATAGCGAGGCTCAGAGTCACGTGATTCACGCTCACTATGACAGAGCAGCCAAAGTCACTTTCACTGATTACTCAGCACCTTACTGACTGGCTGGCTGGCACAAGAGGAGAGAAATTCTTCACAATCACTAGAGTCCTTGAGTTTATTAACCCGGCCCTCATCGACAGCGCTTCCAATTTAAAGCACAACAGTCATTTTAAAATCACACAACAGGAAAACAAATCAGTCCATAAACCTGCTTTGCTATACTAAAATTAAGTGATTGAATCATTATAATGCGCAGCTCTAACGTGTTGGGAGAACTAAAGAGACTGAACCCCACTGGAATAGCTAGCTATTATGTTTTTCAGACATCTTGGGCGGCTAATAGTATACGAGCTTAACAGAATTATATAAAGGCAGCAGGACTGAGAGCAGAAACGGACACAGCTCGTCAGGCCTACACAATCATGGCCCGTGTGTTTATGTGTGGGTAAGTGTATGTATGTGCGCGTGTCCGTGTGCGAGCATGTGTGTGCGTAAGAGCTAAGCAGATAAAACGGCCAGGCCTCCCCTCCCCCAGCTGGATCTCTCGTGATTCACAGCGATCTGCATTATCAGACAGGCTGTGGAGTCTCCCCACCGTTTACACAAGCACGACTCGCGTCAAGCGCTACAGCACAGACTGCAATATCCGAGTGCATGACCTCGAGGCAACTATAAGCAGCACAGGGTCTGCACAGCAGCACAAGAGAAGAATCCTGTATAGACTGAGAGTGTTCTTTTAGACAAAAGAAACTGATGACTGGTTATGCGTCTCATGACTGCTGCATGTATAAAGATTTTGCTTAAAGGATTTTGGCCACATTTTCATCAAGTCAATAATGATTAGCTTGACTAGACTCAGGTGACGGGGTGGTTTAACCTGCTGGATGTCAGGCTTGGCGAGAGTCCAGAAAGACTCACAATCTGGGCTGTTCACACTCATCAAGGTGAGTGACCCAGTAAGGTGTTGTGTTCAAGCACAGCCTGTCAGTGAAAGGCCTCAGTCAGGAGGATCACAAGTCTTGACACCTCACCGGACAACCTAGTTGGCCCAGGTGTATCTAAGTAATTGAGGACTAGTCATTGATGTAGTGCCATGCACCATTCCAGCAGATCAACACACACCCTCATGTACCAACAGCTGTCCTGGGAGATGAGACTGTAACAGTTATAATCTGGATGTCCTACTTGATAGGCCTGAACCCCCCTGGACAATTGGCTCATGACACGTGGTATGTTAGGGTCAGGCACCAGCAAACAGACATATGCATCATGTCCAGGCAGAACAAGAGGAACAGGACAGAATTACAGAAGACTGGATCTGTAGCCTGGTGCCGAGCACACATCTCAGATGTACAGGGTTGATTATTTGCACAGTGAAGAGACCCTACTACCCAGAGCCGATGTTGTGCAAGATGTTGCTCAGTACTGCAAAACACTTCATGGAAACCAAGTAGACATTTCATCTCTCTTTCAATACTGTCCAGGCAGAAAGTCTGCCCAGCTGTTCTAGGGACAACAGCATGGTCAGTTTCTTTTCTTTGTTCTTCCAAACATACCGTATATTGCAGTTGATTGTATGTAAATGTGGTTTTCTTTACCATTTGATTCAAGGTATCTGTAACGTCTGAGTATCTGAGAAAAAAAACATGTCAGAATGACTTACTGCCACTGAGAGGGGGCAACTCTCTCTCCCTGGTTTCCTTCCGTCTCTGCGTCAGATAACTGCCCTTTGAAACTGCCCTTTCTGGAGTACATTTCTGGTAAATGCAGACCAGAAACTCAACACAATTTGCAGCAGTGAGATTAAAGGCATAAAGATGTGATAAAGGTGGTGGAAACGCATAAAAATGATAAGAATGCGCTGACTAACCAGGAGAACAGGAGGGGGTTGCAAATTAATCCTCTACACAGGCACACAGCCTTCCTTCACAGGAAGAAACACCGGGAGGCAAAGGCGACGATAGAAAACCAAAAAAATATCTCAGTGTTGGAGGCCAAGAAATAGCTTATAACTTTAAATTCTAAACGAAGAAACACCCTCATCCTCTGGCTGGATATGTATAGCATTACCTGCGTCACAGCAAAATTCCAGGAGTGCCTGTGCTCCCACAAGTTTTTTTTCTAGATCTTGGGCTATCCCAGTCCTTACTTGAGCAAGATGTGGGTACTGGGGGCTACATCCCTTGTACCTTAAAAAAAAAAGGCTTAACAAAACCAGCTTAGTATCTGTCTGAAGCTCTAAGCTACAGCCAACAAACCCTCCCCTCCACCTAGACACACACATGCTCACGGGCCCATCTGGCCTGTTTGATAGTCAGTTCTTAAATAACCCAAGAATCTTATCCAGCTATTTGCTGAAAGAAAGCAGGGGAATCATCTTCAACAACATGGCTGGGTAGCTTGTT